CCAACCTTTAAAATCCGCGGCCCTGGGCCGAGTTCTTCGAGGTCTTCAAGCCGCCCGTGAAGACGGACGTCGAGCGGCGCATGTCGACGAACCTCCTGCACTACAAACCGAACTACTGCCTCATCTTCTGCGGCGTCATGGCGCTCGGGTTGCTAGCGAGCCCCTGGAGCGCGTGGCTCGCCTACGCCGCCGCCGCGGGCGTCGCCGCCGCGGCCGTCAACGCGAAGCCGGAGCAGCCCTACGCGAAGGTCGGCGACCGCCGCGTCGCGCTGAGCGGCCGGAACCGCGCGCTGGCCGCGGTCGGCGGCGGCGTCGCCGTCCTCGCCCTCTTCGGCGCGCTCCTCTGGGTGCTGGTGACCTTCTCCGTCGCCCTACTCCTGCCGCTCGCGCACATGGCGCTGAGGCCGCGGTCGTTCGCGGCCAAGTACAACGTCGCCACGGACGAGGTGCGCGGCCTCTTCGGCGGCGCCTCCGCCGTCGACGACGCGCAGAACGCCGAGGGCGGCACGGCGCTCCACTCCCGCGGCGCCCGTCGCCGCGCGGCGTCCCGAGAGACGTCGCCCAAAAACGGGCCCATGCAGGCGCCGCCGGGCTTCACGGAAATGGGCGCGCCGTGAACCCCCCGCGCAGGCTGACCGCACGCGACGCGAGCTCCTCCATTCCGGATGCCTCACGGTTCGCTCGTGTTGTAGATAGCACAGGGGTTAGTTCAAAGGGTCTCCCGTTCGGAGTTCGCAAGCAAGGGGGCATTCGGTCTCCCGTTCGGAGTTCGCGGGCACGGGGGTCTCCCGTCGTTCGTCTAGCGGGCGCACGTGTCGGGCCCACGGGCGCGAGGTTGCCCGCGAGGCGGATGCGGTGGAGCAGGCGGAGCCCCTCGGGCGAGAAGCCGTCGTTCGGGGTCGCGGAGTGCAGGAGCGCGCGGTTGTCCCAGACGACGAAGTCGCCGGGCGTCCAGGCGTAGGTCTTGAGCGACCGCTCGCCGCGCGCGAGGACCTTCGCGACGAGGAGCTGGAGCTCGTCGCCCGCGAGCGTCGTGCCGTTGATGTTCAATTTGTCGATCCACATGGGCGCGAGCGGGAGGCTTCGCCGGCCGTCGCCGTCGGGGAGCACCCAGACCGCCGGGTGCGTGGCGCCGGGCGCCCGCGCCCGGCCCGCGCCCTCCGCGTACAAGCTCCCGACGTTCGACGCCGCCGACTCGCCCTCGAGGAGCGCGCGGTAGCCCGAGCTGTGCATCGACACGGGCGATCTGGAGTACTCAATGTCCGCGCAGTCGAAGACGCCGCGCTCCGCGTCGTCGAGCTCGTCGTAGATCACGCGCGCGTCCATGAAGAGCGTGTCGCCCCCGACGGGCTTGACGGAGACGCAGTACATGGACGTCGCGATGGACGGCTCCCGCGCCTCGTAGTGGCCGTCCGTGTGCCACTCCTTGATGGGCTTCCCGCTCGACAGGTGGCCCTCGGGGACGCCGTGGTGCCCCGCGGGGACGAAGCCCTCGCCCTGGAGCAGGATCTCGTCGCGCGCCGGCACTCGCCAGCGCGCGTACTTCTCCGCGTCGACGCCCGCGACGCCCTGGGGGCCGTGCGCGGCGCCGGGGCTGCCGTCGTGGGGCAGCAGCTTCATGAACGCGAGCTCGTCGTCGGGCGCCAGCGCCTCGCCGCTCCAGCGCAGCAGGCGGTGCGCGGCGAAGGCCGCGCGCACGGCGTCGTGGAGGCAGGGCGCGTCGACGATGTCGCGCATGGGCGTGGCGACGGTCGCCCCGAAGCTGCCATCCCAGGGCAGCAGCTCGAGGCCGCAGGCGGCGCTGCCGTTGATGGTGCGGGCGTCGCAGGTGCCGTCGCAGGTGTCGCTGCGCGCCGCGTGGACGGCCAGGGCCAGGCCGAGTACTCGAATAATCGCGGCCATCGGTTGAGAATGCAGAATGCTGCTTGTCGCCGCTTCACCAGAGGGGCAAGAATCGTCGCGGATGATACATCCGAAAGCTTGTACTTGCATAAATAAAGCCGCGATGGTGGGTGTGATGTCTCGTTCGCGGTAGCCAGCCCGAAACGATGTCGGACGTGCCGTTCGAGTTCGACGGCGTGGCGCTGCTGGACGCCAACCTCGGCGGCGACGACGAGAAGCAGGAGCTCCCGGAGCCGCTGCCGCCGCCGGCGACGTCGCGCCTCTTCGCGCCGCTGCCGGCGGCCGAGGAGGCGCTGGAGGTCACGGAGGTGAGCATCGAGAACGCGTCGGACGGGAGCGGGAGCAGCGACGGCGAGGAGGCGGCGCCGACGGACGTGAGCTACCACGTGGACCCCACGGGCCGCCGCGTGAGCTACACGCTCCAGGGCTTTGGGAGCGCGCCGCCGACCGAGGCCGAGACGGCGTCGCCGCGCGGCGCCGGGCGGCGGCCGTCCGCCGGGTCCGGCGCGCGGCGGAGCTTCACGTCGTCCGGCGCGCGGCGGAGCTTCACGCGCGCGGGCTCGTTCACGCAGAAGCCCGACGCGCGCATGAGCATGGCCGGGCGCCGGTCCGTGTCGCTGCCCCAGCTCGTGAGCAAGCCGCCCCCCCAGCCCGGGTGCGCGACCTTCCGCGCGGCGGCCATCCGGCTGACGGAGTTCAGCCCCGCGCCGCCGCGGCGGGCGCTCGGCGCGCGGGACCGCGACGACGCGATATTGTCGCCGTCGTCCGCGAAGCGGCGGTCCTTCATCGCGCCGAGCTCCATGCGCAACCTCGGCTTCGAGGGCGAGGAGTCCGACTTCGACGACGCCGCCAAGGCGCGCCGGTCGACGTTCATGCAGCGCGCGCGGACGTCGACGTGGGAGTCGATCAAGCGCGTCGCGATCTCGCCCGCGGCCAAGGAGGCGGAGCGCGGCTCGGCCATGGAGGTGCTCGAGAACTTCATGCACACGGGCCTGAGCCGCATGCACCGGCGCCAGAGCCTCGACGTCGCCGGGAAGCCGGGCGGCGGCTGGGGCCGCGTGAGGGAGTGGAAGTGGCTCGTCAGCGAGGACTCGTCGACGCGCATCAACTGGGACATCTTCGTGATCCTGTGCATCCTGTGCTACGTCTTCGTCATGCCCCTGCGGGTCGCGTTCTCGACGACGTCCGCGGCGGACTTTTTGCACGCGCGGGGGCGGTGGCTCTGGGTCGAGTTCGCGCTCGACGTCATCTTCATCGCGGACGTGTGCCTGAACTTTCGCACGTCGTTCCGCCTGAGCTCGGGCCGCGTCGTCGAGGACTCGCGGCTCATCGCGGAGCGCTACCTCAAGTCCTGGTTCCTCGTGGACTTCGTGAGCTCGCTGCCCATCGAGGTCGCGACGTTCGTGCTCCAGTCGCACCTCACGCGCGACACGGAGTCGACGCTGAAATTCGTGCGCATCCTGCGCATCCTGCGCTACACGAAGATCATCCGGGTCATGCGCCTCGTGTCCAAGCACGGCCGCCTGCTCAACTCGACGCTGAACCCGGGCTACATCCAGCTCTCGCGGCTCGCCGTCATCGTCCTCGGCGCGTGGCACTACGTCGCGTGCGCGTACTGGATCGTCGCGCGCGTCGAGGGCTTCTGCGACCCCGACGTGCCCGACGACCTGGCGCTGTCCCTCGCCGAGGGCTACCGCCTCTGTTTGGACCGGTGGGCGCCGTACCGGGCAGCGTCCTGTGGCCGTGACGATGTTCGAGAGATTTCGGCTGGGAAAACGATGAGAAATCGTCACCGTCGTGCTCGGTAGGTACCGGGGCTACCGGCGCGCGGGCTTCCGCCAGCAGTACACGCAGGCCTTCTTCTGGGCCGTGCAGGTGTCGACGGGCATCGGCAAGGACATCATCCCGCGCACGTCCCTCGAGGTCGCCTTCACGACCGTCATCATTTTATGGGGCATGCTCATGTACGCGTCGATCATCGGCGCGGTGTCGTCCGCGGTCGCGGTGCTCGACGCGACGGGCATCCAGCGGTCGCGGAAGCTCAGCGCCGTCAAGAGCTTCCTCGTGCAGCAGAACGTCCACAAGCACCTCCAGCTCGAGATCATGAACTACTACACCTACCTGCTCTCGCTGAACACGCGCGACTCCCAGGCGCTCTCGGACCTGCCCGTGACGCTCCGCATCAAGCTCGAGCTGTCGCTCAAGCAGGAGTCCGTGGACCAGGTGCCCCTCTTCCACAATCTCGACGCGGCGTGCATTCTGTCCATCGTCCACCACCTCAAGAACTGCGTGTCGCTCCCGAGCGAGATCCTGTACGCGGCGGGCGCCTTAGGCGACCGCATGTTCGTGCTCGAGCGCGGCGCCGTCGTCCTGAGCGTGCCGCGGAACATGAACCACTTCATGGCGCTGCGCAAGGCGCAGCAGCGCAAGAATCGGTTCAAGGCGTCGCGCGAGGACCGCAAGGAGGGCGAGCCGATCGAGCTCGACCGGTCGCGGTCGCTGCCCGCGGAGCCGTCGGGCCCCCGGCGGAAGCGGCGCAACTCGAGCCTGAGCGTCGCGCCGCCGCCGGCCCAGGTCCAGGACGACCTCGCGGACTGGCGGAAGACCATGTCCGAGTTCCTGACGGCGTCGGTCTACAGCGACCTCGACAACGTCGTCATCGAGCGGCTGGTCATCAACGGTGTGCAAATCAAATCTTCAACCCGACTTCAATGTGCGCGTATTCGAATGCTTCGACACACGCTCTTCGGCTGTGCTTCGAGAACTCGACGAGAGCAATCGATTCGTCCAAAAATCAGCCGAATCGACTTCGATGTGACCGAGCTAGAGAATTCTGAAGTTTGGCCCGCGACGTCCCAGCTCACTACTTGATTTCCACACAGGTCATCAAGTCGGACTACTTTGGGGAGATCGCGCTCCTGAGCCAGCCGCACCTCACGTACGCGACGTCGGAGACGTTCTCGGAGCTCTACGAGCTGCGGCACGCGGACGTGAGCTTCCGCGCATTTCTTTTCCACTTGGACAAACCGCCACTGGACGTAGGTCGTCGACACGCTGCGCGAGTTCCCCCGGCTGACGCTGCGCCTGAAGCGCATCACGGCCATGCGCATCATGCACGTCTTCGAGACGCTCGAGCGCAAGGCGCGCGACGCGCGCGCCGCGGAGCGCGAGTCGCGGCGCGGGGCCGGGCCCGGGGCCGCGGCGCGGAAGCGCATGTCGACGTTCAACTCCGTCGGCTCCGCGATCCGCCGCGGGTCGTCCATGTCCCTGCGCAAGCCGCGGACCGAGCTCGCGGAGCGCCAGCGGTCCGCGTCGTCGCGCAAGGCCTGGGTCGGCCTCGCGTCCAACGACGACAAGGAGGTCGCCGCGCAGATCATCCAGCGCAACCTGCTCCGGTCGAAGCGGCGCCGGTCCTGGACGGGCTGGGACGCGCTCATCAAGGACATCCAGTCCGACGTCCGCGAGAAGCGCGAGGCGGCGAAGCGGCCCGCGGTCGCGAGCCAGGTCCTGTCCCTGGAGCAGCGCGTCGCCGGCGTCGAGACGAAGCTGGAGGCCATGGAGCGGCTCATCGTCGCCGGCTTCGACGACCTGCGGCGCGGACACCGGCTGCCGCCGCGGGGCCCGGCGCCCGCGCGCGCGCTCCACGACGCGCCCGCGCTCGCGCGGACGCCCGTCGCGCCGCCGGCGCCGTCGCGGCTCTCCTTCCCGCCCGCGGAGGCCGCCGCGCCCCCGGCGCCGCGGGCCTTCACGCCCGTCGTGGCGCCCCGGTCGCCCGCGCCGCGCGCGGCGCCGGCGCCCGCGCCGCCGGCCGCGCCGCAGACGCCCTTCGAGCGCCACGTCGCCGCGTTCCGCGCGGCGGCCGCGGACGACGCGGCCGCGAGCCGAGAGCACACGGAGGACCCGCGGCTCAACCCGACGCAGGGGGAGTAAACTTCGAACTACTTAGGGTCTTTCGAGAAGGCGCGTCACGGCGCTTCCGGTTCCGCGAACTTGGGAGGGCGCACGCGCGCGCGGCAGGGCTTCCCTCCGCTCAGAGCTCGCGGAGCTTGCGGAGGCGGCGGCTGACGGCGGCCGAGTCGCGCTGGTAGTCCGGGTGCTCGCCGCTGTTGATCAGCTCGTCGTGCACGACGCTCAGCAGTTCGCCCATCGTCAACTCCGGGAATTCGTCGCGCATTTCGTTCACAATATTGTCCGCCGAATATTCGCAGCAGAGCGCCCGCAGGTTGGGGTTGTCGTTGTACATGTCCTGCCACATCTTGACGTCCCAGGAGTCCTGCGATGCGCACGCGCGCGAAAGATGTCAAGATAACGAGCGAAGCGGGACGCGGTTCGCGCGCCTTGGGCATGGGCGGGCCACCCTTCGTAGACGGGGGCTGATCGGCCTTCTTCTTCTTGTTCGCGCGCTTCTTGCGGTTCTTCTTGCCGTACTTGACGGCCGGCTGGCGCGCGCAGTCCTTGGGGGCGACGGGGATCATGATGTCGATGGTCACGTCGTCCTCTAGGCCATGCTTGACGACCAGCCGCTCGAGCGCAGATTTCGCGGCAAGGGCGACGGGAAGCTTCTCCATGAGATCCTGCGCGACGGTGTCCATGTCGTAACGTTGCGGTAGCGAGAGCGTGGTAATGAACGAACGATCGAGTGAACGATCGACGGAAGCGCTCCGCAAAATCCCTGTGGCAAAAAGGACATCCCGCGGCCCGACTACGGCCGGGACGCGGCCGCGAAGCGGGCCCGCGACGCGGCCTACGCCCGCGCGGCCCGCGGCACCGGCGGGACCTTCGGCGTCGCCTACGAGCAGTAGCCGCCCTACGTCGTCCTGCCCTCTTCGTCGCCGTGCTCGCGTACGCCTCCGCCCTAGTCGTGTCCTCCCGTGACGCTTCCCTACGCCCACCTTCGCTGTTCTCTCCCCCTTCGGTTCTTCCCTGCGCCGCGGCTAAGCAAAAAGGACATCTACCCAGGTACAGTCGAACGAAACAAGTTCACTACGCGTGCTTACTCCCCTTCTTCTTCTCGAGCTTCCCCGCCAGTTTCAGGATGTCGCCCATGGACGTCGTGTCGCGGATCGTCTTGGGCTTCTTCGCCTTGGCCTCGCCGTCCGCGCGGCGCCGCTTCTTCTCGCGCGCGGCGTCGTCGTTGTTGCCGCGCCACCGGTCCGGGTTCGCGGCGTACTGCCCCAGGTTCGCGACGCGCGCGAAGTCCGGGTTCGACCGGCCGACGCGGTCCGCGTGGGGGAGGAGCGCGTCGAGCCACGCGGTCTTCGCCGCGAGCGGCGCGCCGCGGAACAGCGTCGCGCAGAGGCTCCGGACGTGGTCCACGCGGCTCGTCGCCGCGCGGAGCAGGTCCCCGGCGTCGAGGAGCGCCACGGCGGCCGCCTCCGCGAGGGTCGCGTCGCCGGCCGCGGCCTCGAGGAGCTTGCGGGCCCAGGGCCGGTGGAGCGCCGCGCAGCAGCTCGGGAACGCGGCCGAGCCGGCGAGCGCGTCGCCCAAGCCCGGCGCCCCGAGCGCGACGAGCGCCGCGAGGGACCGCGCGCCGTGCTCGCGGACGTCGCCGGGCCGCCGGTCGTCCAACAGGAGCCCGCCCGGCCAGTCCGGGCCGCCCGCGGCCGCCGCGGCCTCGGCGGCGGCCGCCGCGAGCGCCGCGCCGCGTTGCTCGTCGCCCGACGCCGCCGCCGCCTCCAGCAGCGCCGAGAGCACGCCGAGGCGGTCGCCGCGCAGGGTCCGCGCGAGGGCCGCCGGCGCCGCGAGGAAGGCGTCGAGGAGCCTCGCGCCGTCCGGCGCCGACCGCAGCAGCGCCTGCACCACAAAGTTCGCGACGCCGTCCTCGACCCAGACCCGCAACCCCCGCGCCGCCGGGTCCAGGCACAGGTCCACCAGCACGCCGTGGAGCGACGGCGACGCGTAGCGCACCGCGGCCTCCATGACCACGGAGCCCGCGCGGTCCGCGGAAAGACCGAACGCGATCAGCGCGGAGCGCCCGCGGTCGCGCGGCGCGCCCCCCTCGAGCTCGAAGAGCGCGCCCAGCACGCCGTCGACGCCGCCGCCCGGCGCGCCCCGGAGCCCGGCCCCGTCGACGACGGCTAAAAGCCGCAGGAGCAGCGCGAGCGTCGGCGCGCCCGACGGCGACGTCGCGAGCTTCTGCGCCGCGGCCGCGTCGCCGCCCGCCAAGCCCCGCGCGACGTCCAGCAGCTCGGCCGCGCCCGCGGCGGTGCCCTTGGCCGCCACGCGCGCCAGGAGCGCGTCGTCGGACAGGGACACGGCGTCGTCGACGCTGTGCGAGTGGCGCTCGTTGCGGCGGGCCCGCTTCTCCGCGAGCACGGGCGCGCCCGCGAGCGCGCAGAGCCAGGCGCGGCAGACGTGGCTGCCGTTGGGATCGCTCGCCAACGCGGCGAACTTGGCGCCGTCGCCGACGCCGAGGGCCGCGGCCGCGCGGATCGCGACGCGCGCCGCGCGGCCGCCGCCGGCCGCCGGCACGGGCTCGTCGTCGTCCTCGTCGTCGTCGTCGTCGTCGTCGTCGTCGTTTTCCACGTCGTCGCCGCGGTTGCACAGCAGCGCCAGGAGCGTCTGCTCCACGTGGCTGCCGTGGCGGTGGTAGACGAGGAATCCGACGTACGGCGCGAGCCACCCGGCGAGGCGCTCGACGGCGCGGCCGCCACACTTGCGCGCGAGCTGCTCGAGCAGCGCGCCGCCGACGCGGTCCGCGGCGACGGACGCCGCCTCCCAGCGCAGCTCCCGCGCGACGTTGTGCGCCGCGGCACGCGGCGCGCCGGCGTCGGCCAGGAAGTCCGTGAGGTACTGGACGGTCTCCGCTTTCGCTTTGCGCGGCTTCTTGTAGCCGCCCTCGCCCACGTCCTCGGTCGCCGCGGCCTCGTCCCAGGTGTCGTCGGCGTTCCAGTCCTCGGTCCAGGCGTCCTCAGAGGCCATGGTTTAGCACTCGTATATCGCCGGCTTCGGAGAGCTGCAACACATGTTCAACCCTCATCATTGAGGTGGGGTTGCCGCCCATAATAAACTTCGCGCCGGCACGCTGGGGCAGCCATCGTGTTGTTCTTCTGGTGGCTCGGCGTGGTCAAAGACGAGGCGCGGCCGACGCCCTCGCCGTCCGCGGAGCAGTGATGTCGACGAACCCGCTCATCGCCCTGTTCCTCGCCAGGCGCCGCGGGCGCGGCTTCGACGTCGTGCCGCACGTCCACGTGTGGTTCGGCGACCGGGGTGGCCTGGCCTGCTGGCGGTCCCTGAGCGAGACCTGCTACACCTTCGGCCCGCTGGCGTTCATCGCGAAGGACCTGCGCTCGCGGCTCGCGCTCGCGCGGGAGATGGAGGCGCGGATCCGCGCGGCGCCGGCGCACGCGCTGCGCCTCGGGCCGTGCGGCGGCGCCGCGGGCGGGTCCGTGGCCTGGATGGGCTACGCGGAGCAGGCCCCGCGGCGCGCGTTCGCCTACGTGCTGGGCATGTGCTTCGGCATCGTCCCCGCGCGCATGGAGCTCGTGAGCCTCGACTTCGGGTCGCGGCCGCGCGAGCTCTGGACGCGCCTGGGGTCCCTGCGCCGCGCGCACGCGGCGGCGGCGGCGTCGAACGCGCGGTTGGAGTCCGCGCGGGTCATGCCGGCCGTCGTCGAGGCGCTGGGCCTGCGGAACGCGACGCTTTTACTCGGCGTCGTCTACTTCGAGCGCTTCGAGCGCGCGCTCGACGGGAGGGGCCGCACGCTCGCGTGCCTCGACTGGTCCGTGCGCTACCCCCTGGTGTTCGTGTGTTTGTTACTCGCGGCGAAGTTCACGAACGACGAGGCGCGGGGGCTGCCGCGGAAATTCGCGGCGATTTTGGCGGACGTCGAGGGCCTCGAGGAGGACGTCGTGCTAGCCGCGCTCGCGCAGCTCGAGTTGATCGTGCTGGAGACGGTGGCCTACGACCTCTCCGTGCCCGACGACCTGGCGACGGAGGAGCGGCGCCACCCGGCGTTCGTCGTGTCGTGGCTGTTGGCCATGCTCGTGCACAACGGCGCGGGGCCGCCGGGTCTAGCGCCGTACCCGCGGCACCTGCGGTGGCTCGAGAGCGCGGCGAGGCTGCCCGTCTTCTCCGTGCTCGACGACGTCGCGCGCGCGGAGATCTCGAGCGGCCATACGGAGGCCAAGGACCTGCGGCGCCACCGGGGCGAGCTCCTCGACGCGCTGCTGCGCAACTCCATCGCCTTCTGGCTCAAGAGCCTCTTCTTCTTCTCGACGCTGTCCTACTTCTGGGCGACGATCCACGACATTTTAGTGCCCGAGGGGTCGCGCTACTGGGCCGCGCCGTCCGCGTGGCGGCCCGTGTCCCAGCTCGAGCCCGCCGCGCTCGCGGTCTGCATCGTCGGCTCGCTCCACAACGCGGGCGTCATCTCCGCCGTCATGGGCGAGTGCGCGCGCGTCTGGGCCCACGCGGCGAACACCGTCGCCATCCTCCGGAGCTACGCGAGGCCCCTGAGCGCGCCCGCGCCTCCAGAGGACGCGGCCCTACGCGGCCGGCTCCGCACGTCGACGCGGCCCTTCCTCAAGCTCCACCTCACCGCGGCGCCGGACCTCGCCAAGGCGCGGCGTAGAAGGCGGCCGTCGCCGGCCTGCTCCCCGACGAGGAGGTGGTGCGTCGCCGACGTTCTAGGCGCGTGCGGGTAAACAAGGGGCGGCGCGCCGGACGTTCTAGGCGCCGCGCTTCGTGACGGTGAACGAGTGGACGACCGCGCCCGTGTAGACGTAGAAGTCGGTCGTGAGCTCCTTCAGGTCCGCGGAGAACGTGTGGAACCTTGGAGTTCCAGACGGTCTTGTAGGAATGGCGGCCGCCGTCCGCGACGGGGTCGCCGCCGTTCCGCTTCTCCGGCACGGAGCCCTGGTCCTGGTCGTGCGTCGCGACCATGGAGCCCGCGCCCGTCGTAACGTACGCGCCGGCGCCGTCGACGGTGTACTGCGTGAGCGTGTGCACGTGGCCGTTGAGGTAGAGGTCGAAGCCGTGGGTCTGCATCGCGCCGACGATATCCACGACGTCGACGTCGTCCGCGGGCGAGTGGCCGACGACGACGAGCCAGACGACGAAGGGGCAGGTCAGGTTCGCCGTCTCCTTGCCTTCGGCGAGCGTCGAGGCCCGGGCGAGGTCGAGGCGCACGCTCAGCGACTCGTTGCCGCCGCCGAAGACGCCGAAGTGCGTCGTGGCCTCGGGCCGCGGCGCGAGCGACGGCGCGACCGTCGGCGACCGCGTCGGCGCGGACGACGGCGCGAGCGTCGGCGACGCGGACGACGGCGCGAGCGACGTCGGCGCGGACGACGGCGCGAGCGACGTCGGCGCGGACGACGGGACTAGGGTCGTCGACGCGGACGACGGGGACCGCGTCGGCGATCGAGACGACGATGTACTCGTCGCCCCGGAGGACGCTGCTGGACATCGGACGAGAGGAGCCGCCCGGCCTCGCCGAGGCTCCAGTTCCAGGTCTGCGTGTCCGGCTCGAGGACCACGAAGCGCGTGATGGCCCGCACGCGCACGAGCGTCCTGTCCGTGACCGGTTCCTCCTCGAGATGGTCGCGCAAGCAGCCCACATCGTGACGTTCAATGTGGATGCAAGTGTCTGCGCTTTTGGCTTGAAGCTCGACTGCTCGACTGAGCTGGGACTGGAGGCGCCGCGTGTCGCCGTCTCCCCGCGCGTGCTGCCGCGCCGCACCGCCGACCCCGCCGCGCGCCGCGCGCACCGTCACGCAACGCATGGCCCGAACCAGGCAAACCGCCGGGCCGATGAACCTCGCCGGCTCGGACGACGACGAAGGCGATTATGATCCCTGGGCCGGGCATCGATGGCGCGAGCCCGAGGACGTCGAAAACGCGCAAGCGATCCTGGAAGAGCGCATCACCGAACTGCCCATCTGGAGACAGAAGGCGTGCGACGCGGCGCTGGCTGTCGTCCGAGGCCGCCAGAAAAAGTTCGACGGGGACACGCGGTGCTTCCGCAGCGGGCAAACCTCCCGTTCCCGCGGCGCCACGTACTACAGAAGGAGAGAATTTCTCGAAGCAGTGAGACAGGCCCGGTCGGCGGGTTCGACACTTCCCGGGTTAGCTATCTTCTTCGTCATCGATGGCATTGTAGAGGATGAATACGATGATGACGAAGACTTCGACTATGACGACTTCTGGCATAATTACCTTGATGTTCCACGGTGGGCCGCTTCTCCATGCGAGGAGGCTGTGTCGCACGTGTTGCGCGGTTACTATCCTGACACCTACATTATTGGACAGGATTACTTCAGTGTGGACCAGCGCAAGTCTGACTCGTTCGAAAGCGACAGGCCCTTTGTCAAGTTATATATTATGGAGAGCATTCGAGATGTCGAGTCAAAACTGGCAGCATGTGAGTGGTACCGAGAGAACTATCCCAAGTCACGGCCGCTCTGTGAGGATACGATGATGCCGAATAAAAGAGGGAATGCCGACTTCATCGTAAAGTCCACTCCCCTCGAATACCTCGAAACACTCTACATCTGGTGCTGCCTGAATCATAACACAGAAATGGTGCAAAATTGGTTTATGAACTTCGCGATGTCGCAAAGGCTCAACGACCTGTTTGTGATCCTGGAAAAATGCGATGAAGAATGGCTTGCACGTTTAAGCATGCGCCACTGTCTGACATTGCCAAATCCTGAACTAGCGTATCGCTCCGCATGGGAGTCGGGGAGGAGATCATTTGCCAACGCCATACGCGATCTGGCGCCCTTCTTCGCCGGGCCTTGTTCCTTTAGTAAGTACCTCCAGCACTAGTACCCCCGCGCACGTCGAGCGCCTCTTCACGGACCTGGGCGTCCCGGACGAGATCTTCCGCCACGTCCTCGCCTTCTGGCGCAGCGAGCGAGACTCCTGCTCCCCGACGACGGCGACGCGCCTGCCCTGAGCGGCCGCTCCCTCGCGTTAGTATTCGCATTACGGCGCGGGGAGCGCCTCGAAGACGCGGACGCCGGCCTTGGCGCGCGCGACGTCGAGCTCCGGGAGGCCGAGGCTCGGCTTCGCGGACACGACGGCCTCGCCGGCGCTGCGCGGCCGCTCCGTCGCCGCGGGCGCGGGCGCGGGGCTCGGCTCCGGGGGCCGCGGCGTCGCGGGCTTGACGTAGTTCGCGATGAACTTGCCGAGGTCGTAGTGGCCGTACATGTCGGCGATCTCCTGGGGCGTCCGCCCGGAGAAGGCGGGGAAGTCCTTGCGCGCGCCGCGCGCGAGGAGCGCCGCCGCCGCGTCGTCGCAACCGGCCATGGCCGCGGTCCAGAGCGGCGTGCGCCCGAACTTGTCCTCCGCGTCCACCAGATCCCCCAGGCTCCGGCCGTGGTGGCGCAGGATGCTGTCGACGATGGCCGACGCCCCCTTGGCGCAGGCCACGTGGAGGCACGTGCGGCCCTTGTCGTCCGCGGCGCGCGGGTCCGCGCGCGCGTCCAGCAGGACCGCCGCGGCCGCGTCCCGCTCCGCGGCGCACGCGGCGAAGAGCGCCGTCCGCCCGTGGGAATCCTTCGCCTCCAGGTCGCTCCGCGGCGCCAGGAGCCGCGCCGCGTCGACGTGGCCGTAGTTCGCCGCGTGCCACAGAGCCGTCGCGCCGTCGTCGTTGCGGGTCCTCGCGGACGCGCCGTGGCCCAGCAGCTCCTCGACGATGTGGGGCCGGCCGCGCCGCGCCGCCGCGGCCAGCGGCGAGTCGCCGTCGCCGTCGCGCGCGTCCGGGTCCGCGCCGCAGGCGACGAGCACGTCGATCGCGCCGCTGAGCCCGCGCCACGCGCAGTGCCAGAGCGCGGACCGGCCCGCGCCGTCGACCTGGTTCGCGTCGGCGCCGCGCTTCGTGATGAGGACGCGCAGCACCTGGGGCTGGTCCTGCTCCACGGCGACCCACATCTGCTTCGACGCCCGCACGCCGCGGTGCTTGACGCGCGGCTCCCGGGCGAGGTCCAGCGACGGCTGCCCCTTGGACCGGTCCGCGTAGGGCGGCGTGCCCCGCGCGCCGGCGACGCGGTCGTTGTGCTCGAGGAAGCGCTCGTAGTTGAGCATGGCGCCGGCGCCGAGGGGCCGCCCCGCGCTGGAGCCGTCGAACGGGCTGCGAGAGATGGCTGCGAGATGTCGGCGTTTCCCTCACGTTGTATTTTCGTTTTGGAAGACATCCACACGCTGCCCGGGCCACTCGACACGTACGGGCGACGGCCGCATAGAAGAGCTTTTGGACTGCATTTGCGGCATGAGCGGGCTGCGGACCATCACCTTCGACGAGGTCGCGAAGCACAACACCAAGGAGGACTGCTGGGTCATCGTCGAGGACAAGGTCTGGGACCTGACCGGCTTCGCCGTCGACCATCCCGGCGGCGCCCACCTCGTGCAGGAGCAGGCCGGCAAGGATGGGACGACGCCCTTCGTCGACGCGCACAGCACGGACATCATCCAGCTCACGCTCGGCGGCGCGGCCGGCGTGAAGAAGGCGCTCATGGGCGTCATCGACCGGTCCACCGTGCCCGCGAGCGCCGTGAGCGGCAAGGCGGACCACGGCGCGCCCGCGGAGGCCGACGACGACGCCGACGAGTGGGAGGTGCCGCCCGTGGAGGCGATCCTGAACGTGCACGACCTCGTCGCCATCGCCGAGCGCAAGCTCGTCAAGGAGGGCAAGAAGCAGGCCTGGGACTACTACAGCAGCGGCGCGTGCGACGAGCTCACGTACCAGGAGAACGAGCTGGCGTTCAAGCGCATCTGGATGCGTCCCCGCGTCCTCGTCGACGTCAAGACCGTCGATCTCACGTCGAAGATCCTCGGCGCGACCGTCGGCGCGCCGCTGTTCCTGAGCGCGTGCGCGATGTGCGGCATGGGCCACGAGGACGGTGAGCTCGCGTGGGCGGAGAGCGCGGCGGGCTTGGACATCCCGTTCATGTCGCCGAACCTGAGCAGCAAGAGCCGGAGCGCGATCTTCGCCGCCCAGCAGGCGAGCCCGACGGGCCACCGCATGTTCCAGATCTACGTGAACCCGGACCGCGACGTCGTCCTCGAGCAGCTGCGCGCGTGCGAGGCCGCGGGCGTGACGGCCGTGTGCGTGACGGTCGACAGCGCCGTCGCGGGCCCGCGCGAGCGCGACCAGCGCAACAAGATCGCCATGCTGCTCAAGCAGCAGGCCCAGCAGGAGAGCGCGGCCAAGGGCGCCAAGGCGCGGAAGCCGGGCGTCTACGCGAATCGCGATCCGGCGCTCAACTGGAAGGACGTCGCGTGGTTCTGCTCGAACACGACCATCCCCATCGTGCTCAAGGGCGTCCAGTGCGGCGAGGACGCCGTGCTCGCGGCCAAGGCCGGCGTCGCGGCGATCCTGGTGTCGAACCACGGGGGCCGCAACATGGACACGGCGCGGTCGTCGATCGAGGCGCTGCCGGAGATCATCTCCATGCTCACGGAGGCGGGCCTGCGGTCGAAGCTCGAGGTCTGGCTGGACGGGGGCATCCGCCGCGGGAGCGACGTCGTCAAGGCGCTCGCGCTCGGCGCGAACGCGTGCGGCATCGGCAAGCCGGCGATGTACGGCATGAGCTGCTACGGCGCCGCGGGCATCACGAAATGCGTCGAGATCCTGAAGCGCGAGATGGTGCAGACGATGCAGCTCTGCGGCGCGCCGCGCTTCGACCTGCTGTCGCCGTCGCTCGTCGACACGTCGTCGCTGAGCGACCACAGCGCGCCGCCGAAGCAGGCGCCGTCGCCCTACGCGATGCCCCCGCCCTACGTCGAGAAGCTCGCGGCCCTCGCGGCCAAGGGCTCCGGCCCCAAGGACCCGGAGGCGATGACCAAGGCGGAGCTCCGGGCCGAAGTCGTCGCCGTCGCCAGGGCGCTCTGGGCCAAGGAGACGGCGGACGTCTACGCGGCCATCGAGAAGGGCCACGTCGCGAGCGCGGCGACGCTCATCGCCCTCTTCCTCTCGGCCTACGTCATCTACCGCGTCTACCCGCTGCTCCCGATGCACTTTGGCGTCCACATCGCGACGATGGCCCTCGGCGCCTTCGGCCTGCCGACGCTCGCGCTCCACCTCGTGCGCAAGCGCACGGCCTACAAGTCCATGGCCGACCGCACGCTCATGGTCAAGCTCCACGCGGCGACGCAGGTCGCGAACGTCGGCTGCTTCACGTTCGGCGCGCGCGCCATCTACCTCATGAAGGAGGAGAAGGGCTTGGCCCACCTCGCGTCGACGCACTCGAAGATCGGCCTCCTGACGCTCATGCTCTCCTTCGCGTCCTTCTGCATCGCCATGCGCCGCACGGCGAACCTCAAGAAGCTCACGGCGCCCAAGTGGGTCTGGGGCGACTGGCTCCACAAGCAGCTCGGCGTCGCGACCTACGTCGTCGGCGCCGTCGCGGGCGCCAACGGGCTCTACGTCTCCAAGTGGGGCAACGGCGTCCTCGGCTTCCCCCTCGTCTACGTGCTCTGCGCGCTCACCGCGTGCATGGTCGTCATGGCCCTCGCGCCCGTGGACTACAAGAAGCACGCCGCGGCGAAGTGAGCCTGCCCTGTGTATAATGGTTGTTAGGCCGGACGCCTGCGCCGCGGCGAAGTGAGCCTGCCCTGTGTATAATGGGTGTTAGGGCGGACGCCTGCGCCGCGGCGAAGTGAGCCTTCCCTGTGTATACTTGGTCGTTAGGGCGGACGCCTGCGCCGCTGCTCGTTCGCGCGCGCGCGGCTCCGCCGGAACGCGGGCGTGACGCCGCGCGGCCCCGTGAGCGGCGGGTCGTCGAAGGTCCGGCCCGGGATCGTGTCGATGGGCGACCAGGGCGGCAGGAACGAGCAGGTCTTCGGCCGGGTCGCCTCGGGCGCGCGCGTCGCGGGCGGCGTCGCCTTCTTCGAAGAGGGCGTCGCCTGCTTCGCGGGCTTTGGCGGCGACGGGGCCTCGCGCTCGTCCTGCCACGGCCGCCGGAAGGTGCTCGGCACCGCGGCCCGCGAGCGCGGGTTGCTCGAGGCGTTCCAGCAGACCGACCCCTCCGACGCCGAGGTGCTCAGCCCCAGCGAATGCTTCTCCCGGAGGTCGCGCTCGCCGCGCGTGAACGTCCGGGGCCGCCCGGGCGGCGACTCCGGGAGAAACGCCGCCATCGGGGGGCGCGCGCGCCTCGGCGAGCGGCGGCGGCGCTGGGGCTTCGGCTCCGCCGGTATGACGAGAGGCTCGAGCTTCCGCCTCGGCGCTTCCGGCCTCGGCGTCCGGACCTCGATCTGCCTTCTCGCCCAGCTCTGGGCGGCGGCCTCGTCCTCGCGATCCTCCTCGCCGTCGCTCTCATCGTCGCTGACGGCCGGCGGCGGCAGCGGCGGCGCGAACCTCCTCTTGGCGCGCTCGAGGAACAGGACGTGCTCCGCGTCGAGGGCGGCGTCGCCGATGGGTTCGCTGTGATGAACTGCGCTGGACACGAGCTTCGCCTTCATGGCGCGCCACTCGTCGTCCGTGATGATGCCCTCCTCCTTCAGCGTGTTCCATTCCCGGAGCACGTGGGCGGCGTCGAGGGCGCGCTGGAGCTCCATAAGGGCTGCCCAGCCAGTCAAGTTCGACCCGAAGAGCTCCGTCGCCGAGCCCGCCGGAGCCGCGTCCACAAAGCTCGCGCTTAATCGCGCCGGCGCTCGTCGGTGCGCGCCGCCGTCCGAGCGAAACACGATGGAAGACATCGCCGCGCCCGCGGAGCCGGCGGCGGCGCCGGCGGAGAAGCCCGCGGAGCCCGCGGAGCCCGCCGCGGCGCCGAGCGAGGCGTCGCCGAGCGACCAGGAGGCCGCGGCGCCCGCGGCCGCGGCGCCGAGCCGGTCGCGGTCGCGGTCTCCCGGGCCGGCGAAGAAGGAGCGCAACGACGGCAAGACCGAGGTCGGCCGCCAGGTCTACGTCGGCAACCTCGCGTTCAGCTCCGACAAGGCGATGATCGAGGACAAGTTCGGCGTCTTCGGAAAGGTGACGGACGTCTTCCTGCCGATGGACGCGAACCACAAGCCCCGGGGCTTCGCCTTCGTGACCTTCTCCGAGGCGCGCGAGGCCGAGGACTGCGCCGAGAACCTCAACGACAAGGAGTTCGACGGCCGCGTCGTCCGCGTGAACATCGCGCGGCCGCGGCCCGCGCGCGACGCGCGGCCGCGCGGCCCGCCGCGGCGCCGCGACGACTACGACGGCCCGCGGGGCGGCGGCCCGCGGGGCGGCGGCTACGGCTACCGGGACGACTTCCGGGACCGGCCGCCGCCGCCGAACCGCATCTACGTCTACGGCCTGCCCGACGACATCCGCGAGCGCGAGATCGACGACCTCTACTACCGCTACGGCCGCATCGACTACATCGAGATCCGCCGGAGCGCGAAGATGTACGCCGTCGTCTGCTACTTCGAGCCGCGGGACGCCGACTACGCCCAGCGCGAGACCGACGGCATGCGCTTCGAGCGGAAGATCCTCCGCGTCGACCTCGACCGCTGATCTCGGGGCCGCGACGGGCCGGTGCGTCCCCTTCCCTCCCCCCATCCCCCTGTCATCACTTCCCTGGCTTCGTGCAGCCGACGAACAAGGCGAGGAACGACGACGCGAACGAATCGACGAGACGACGACCGCCGACGAACGGCGGAGACGGCCGCGGCTCCGACGACCGCCGCGCGCCACGAGGCGCCCGATGCTAACGGCCGGCCCTTATGCCACCCGCGCTAGAGCACGAGGTTCTTCTGGAGCCGCGCGACGTCGTTGTCCGTGAGGTTGGCGTGGTTCGCGACGTAGTAGGGCGACATGACGTCGCGGTACTCGGCCGAGTGCGTGAGGCCGAGGCAGTGGCCGACCTCGTGGAGCATGACGGGGAGGAAGAAGAAGGCCCCCGGCCGGTTCTTCATGCCCTGGAGCAGCCAGTCCTCGTGGAAGTCGAAGACGACGGACGTCGCGTCCGCGCGCGCGAGCGACCCGCCCGGCCCGTCGAAGGACGACGCCTCCGGCGCGGCCCAGGTCACGGCGATCTTCGCGTCGTCCGCGTCGTCGACGCGCTCGGCCCGGAAGCCGCCCGCGGCGGCCCACTGCCAAAAGGCCGCGTCGACCTCGGCCAGGATCGCGCGGCGGTCGAGGTAGCCCGGCGCGGGGCCCACGGTGTACTTGAGCCACTGGCCCGCGGCCACGCGCGCCTCGTCGCGGTCCCCGATGTCCTTGGCGACGTCGTTGCGCACCTTCTTCAGGATGCCGAGCGTCTTCGGGCCGACGACGCCGTCCTGCAGGAGCGTGTTCACGTCCTGGAACGTCTTCACGGCCTGCGTCGTCATCTCCCCAAAGTCCGCGTCGACCTCGCCCTCGTAGTACCCAAAGTTCTTGAGCATCTTCTGGAGCTGCAGCGTCATGTCCTTGGCGCCCGGCGCCGCCTTGTCCGTCGCCTCGTTGAGATCCGGCACGACGTCGCCGGGCGCGTACCAGGGGCCCACGAGCTCCGGCAGCGGGATGCCCAGCGTCTCCGTCGTGTCCGCGTCGAGCACGACGAGCTCGTCCGTGTTCGCGTCGACGACGAGGGTGAACAAAACGACGTCCTTGCGGCCCCGTTTCAGCTCGTGGCGGAGCGCGCGCGTGACGTCGACGGTGACGTCGACCTTCTTCCCGGACGCGCAGTGCGCGCAGCGCTCGCCCTTGCCGCCGAAGATGGACCCGGAGCCGGCGTAGTAGGCGTGGTCGTCGCGCGGGATGGGCACGAGCGGCGGCGAGAAGTCCGCGGCCTCCTCGGTCGGGACGACGAAGACGTGCAGGAAGTACGCCGCGTCCTGGAAGACGGCGAGGCCCAGGTCCAGGCCGCGGAAGAGCGCGTAGTCCGGCGGCTCCCGCAGCTGCTGGGGCCTCCGCTTCGGGAGCGTGTCGTAGGCGAAGCCCAGCGCGGCCGCGTCGAAGCAGTCCGCGTGCGCGTAGACCTTTCCCGTCCGCGGGTTCACGAAGGGCTTCAGCGCCAGGTCGTATTCCCCGTCGCCGCGCGACGCCGAATAGCTGGCGAACTCCTGCTGCGAGTCCGGGTGGTACTTGAGGTACGCCTCGTAGAGCCGGTCGACGTTGCAGTGGTGGAGGAAGAAGATGGGGTGGTACGCCGCGAAGGACGTCGTCGTCATGGGGTAGCCCACGGCGTTGTGGACGTAGTTGTGCGGGCTCTCGACGTCGTCGTTGGACTTGCCGTCGCCCGTGGACGCGGCGTTGAAGTGCTGCGACGTCCAGAGCGCCGCGTCGCAGACGAGGGGCAGGTCGTACTTGCGCGTGATGAACTCCTTGACCTCCGCCTCGCTCCGGACCCGCGAGTAGCCGCGCGACGCGAACTGGCCCGCCTTGGCGCTCGCGGCGCCGTCGACGAGATCCTCGGGCATGTCCCTGAAGGCGTCGCGGATGATCGCCGGCAGGATCTCCCCGTTGAGCTCCGGCCGGTGGAACGAGTCCCAGTACGGGAAGCCGATGCGGCCGTCGTTCCCCAGAGCCACGTCCGCCCGCCGGAGCGAGTCCTCGACCTCCATCATGTACGCGCGGTGCCAGCCGGGGAACGACTCGCGCCGGTGCGCGCAGAGGCCCGTGTCGCCCGTGGCCACGTCGCCGGGCCAGCCGTGGTAGCCCGCGACGCGCGCGTACTCGGACGACCCGGGCCCGCCCGGGTTCTCCATCATCTTCTTGATCGCGTTGACGAAGCGCCGCTGGTCCGCGGGCTTCATCGCGCGCAGCTCGCGGCGGACGACGACCTCCGACGGCGCCTTGGCCGCCGCGGCCTCGGCCGCGAGCCGCTTCGCCTCGGCCGCCTCCTTGCGCCGCGTGGCCTCGGCCTCGGCGGCGGCCGCGGCCTCGCGCTCGGCCCTGGCCGCGGCCTCGCGCCGCGCGGCCGCCTCGGCGTCGCGCGCGAGCGCCGCGCGCTCCGCCTCGCGCTTCGCCTCGGCCGCGGCCTTCGCCGACGCCTCCTTCCGCGCGCGCTCGCGCGCCTCGGCCGCCTCGCGCTCCTTGGCGACCGCGGCGAGGCGCCTCGCCTCCGCGGCCTCGCGGTCGCGGATGCGCAGCTCCTCCGCCGCCGCGCGCTCGGCCTCGAGCGCCGCGGCGGCGACCGCGGCGGGGTCCTCGTCCGCGGGCGCCGGCGCCGGCGCGGCCGCCTCGTCGCCCGCGGCGGGCGCCGGTGCGGGCGCCGCGGGCGCCTCGAGGCCCTCGACGACCCAGGACAACGTCACGGAGCCCTGGGCCTTGCCCATGTTGTCGCCGAGCGTCTCGAGGGCGAAGGTGCGCCCGCCGCCGGACACGTAGGGCCCCTGGGGCGCGTCGGCGAGGAACACGTCCGTCGACCCGAGGCCCTCGTCGGCCGAGTTCGTGTCCTTGTCGAAGAACGCGACCCGGAGGAAGGCGCCGCCGAGCTTCTCGGCGTCGAGCGCGAATGTGAAGGGCGGCGCGTCGAAGACGGGGTCGAGCGTGTTCGACACGCTCTCGGTCTCGCCCCGGCCGTCGGCGAACGCGCCGGGCCCGACGCCGAGCGTGACGACGGCGTAGGGGTCGCTCTTCGACCGCTCGCGGACGTCGTTGAAGAGGTTCGTGGCGCGCAGGATCGTGACGACGACCGTCGCCGTCCGGCCCGCGGCCTCGGGCGCGGCCTTTTTGGGAGCGGCGAGCGCCTCGACGGCCTCGGCGACGTCCGCCCGGGCCCGGGCCGCGGCCGCGGGCGGGAGCAGCGCGAGGTGCGCCGCGAGCCAGGCCTCGTGGGCGCCCGCGGGCGCGTCGATGGGCGGCGCGTCCGGGCCCTCGGGCTGCGCTCTCGCCGTGCGGTGCCAGCTCAGCGTCACGTTGCCGGGATCGAGCGACCGCACCGTCGACAGGTCCAGCGTCAGCGGCGTGTGCCGCGCGCCGCGGCCGACGAGCGGCACGGCGACGGCGCCGAGGACGTCGTCGCTCGTCTTCCAGTCCTTGTCGAAGACGCTGACCTCGAGCGTCGACGCGGCCGCGTCCTCGAAGACGTACTCGGCCTCGGAGAAGTTGGGGTTCTCGTCGTTCTTGATGTAGTCGCTCGTCTGCGTCGCGTCCCCGACCTTCAGCACGACGTAGGGATCCGACGTCCCGCGGCTCCCGTCCGTGCCCGGCAGCGACGACGCGCCGAAGAGCGTGACGACGACGTCGTAGGTCTGCGTCGCCTCGAGCGCCTCGTCGACGATGGTCTCCACGGCGACGACGGCCTGGGACCGCCGCGCCAGCGGCACGCGCAGCCAGGACTCGAGGATGTCCTCGCGGCTCGGCGGCGGAGGCTGCGCGGCGGTGGAGGCGGCGGCGCCCATCGTGTCGGAGATCGCGCTGAATAACTGCACCGTCGGTTTCACACAGCATCATCGGCTGCGAGCACCCGTGCTTGACCTTGTGTGCTCGGCCGAGCTCGGTGCTCTCTGGCAGCTCTGCGCTTGCCGCTGCCTCGCCTCGCGCCCGCGCTGCTCTCGAAGCTCTAGAGTTTGGTGGCCTCATCTGGCGGCCTCCGCTGCCTCGACTCGCAGCCGCCTGGCAGCATGCGTCGCATCGTGCGCCTGCTCATCGTCGCCTGCGCAGCATCGCTGCGACCGCCCGAAGCGCTCAAGTCCGCGCCGCGACCGAGCCCCCTGGCACGGATCAAAAAGCATCGCGTCTGGCTCTTGCGCATCGCCGTGTTCCTCCTGTCGTCGCGCACGCCCGCGGTCGCCGTGCACACCGACACCTGGACGGCGCTGCGCACGCCCCAGGAAGAGATCAAGGGGCCGAAGTCGATCATCGCGCGGCGGCGGCGCGCGCAGAAGATCACGCAGCTCACGGGCATCGGCTACACGCCGCGCATCGTCGCGCTCGCCGGGCTCATGCTGCGCGGCCTGCAAAAGGCCACGAACATCCCGCTCGACCCGCCCATCGGCTTCGGCGCCGGCGCGAACGTCGCCGCGGCTTGGACGCACCGCGAGTGGCTGCCGTGCATCCTGCTCGGCTGGTACGCCGGCGGCGCGTACTGGGACTTTCTCGGCGTGCGGCCGCCGCCGTCCTTCACTGGCATCCCCATCACCATCGAAAAGACGCGACTCGGCATCGCGTCTACTCAGAAGTCGCCCCCCTAAAAACCGAGCGCTTACTCAGTAGTCGCCGTCCATGCGGTACTCGGCTCCCCCGTCCGGCGCCGCGGCGCTCCGGACGCGCGAGATGAGCTCCGCGGCGTCGACGGCGCCGTCGTCGCCCGCGAGGGTGTCGAGGATCGCGGCCACGACCGCCCGCGGCACGCGCGCGCCCGCGGGCACGCCGGCGCCCTCGGGCGCGTGCCGCGCGAGGAACTCCTTGACGGGGATGCCGCCGTGCGACCGCGCGGGCGGCGACGGCGCCGCCGGCAGCGGCGCGGGCTCGAGCAGCCGCAGCTTCTGGTTCGCGGCGGGCGCCGCCGCGGCCTTGGGCATGCCCGCGAGGAAATCGGTCACGGGGATGCCGCCGCAGGGGTTCGGCACGCCCTCGCCACCGTGCGTGCGCTTCTTGCTCGACGCCATCTCCGCCATCGCGTGCGCTGCTCAAAGCGCTCGCCCTTCGCACAGCAGTTCCGCTTCGTGTGAGCTCGGCGGTGCTGCGCGGCGCGACGCACCTCTTCGACTCGGCTGGGATCAAGAGGCTCTCGCGGCAACCAGTTCAAGGAGCACTTCAACCTGGAGCCGCTACACTGTGCCTACACCATAACCCCCGCCAAAAATAAACCAACAAGCATACGCCGGCCTTTATCATCGGCGGACGCTCACGGGTTGTACTTCTTCGTGACGGACTTGTGGTTGAGCTGGAGCCGGGAGCCGTCGCGCTCCGCGTCGAGGCCGAGGAGCCGCGACTGGGACCGCGACGGCGGGGGGATCTCGTCCTCCTCGAGGCGCGGCCGCGGCGCGCGGCGCGGCGCCGGGTTCGGCGCCTCGCCCGGCCCCGGCGTGAAGAGGTCCCAGCCCTTCTTGCCGAACATCTTGCGCCCCTTCTTCTTCGCGCGCTCCTCGAAGACGTCGAGCCGCTTCCGGAGCGCGAGGACGGGCTTGTTGTCCCCGTCGAGGCTCAGGCAGTGGTCCACGGTGTCGCGGCACTCGTCGTACCTCCCCAGCTCGAACTGGGCGACGCCCATGCGGTACTGCGCCTTGAGGTTGTCCACGTCCTCGTCGATGATCGTCTGGCAGTCCGCGCGCGCCTCGTTCCAGCGCTTCAGCTTGAGGTAGCAGGCCGCGCGGTTCAGGACGATGGCCCGCGCCGACTGGCGGAGCTCCTCGTCCAATGCCAGGTCCTTGAAGGACGTGAGGCCCGACGGCGCGTCCGAGTAGCCCATCGCGTCGTACTCGTGCTGGCGCGCGTAGTGCGCAAAGTCGAGGGCCGACGTGTAGTGGCGCAGCGCGCGCGCGTAGTCGAGCTTGTTGAACCAGTAGTTCGCGCGGTCGCGCTTCTCCTTGGTCTTGGCCACGCGCTCGGGCTCCGGGAGCATGCCCGGCGGCCGCATCTCCTCGTACGCGGCGAGTTCGATGCGGCCCTCCAACGGCTGGTCCCAGGCGTGCTCGGGGATGTTCTTCGCGCCCCGGGGGAAGCCGAACTCCTTGGGGAAGTTGATCAGGGCGACCTCGCCGAAGAGCATGTCCTTCAACGCGATCTCGAGGCCCTCGCACGTCGGCACGACCAATTTCGACAGCGGCAGCTCGAACTCGAGCTCGTCGTCGAGGATCCACGCCGCGAAGGGGAAGGTCTGGGTCACGGAGTCCTGGTCCGGGAACGTGTACTCGCAGAGCTTCGGGTTGTCCCAGGTCGCGCGCGCGGCGTTGCGCGTGCACGGCGCGAAGTCGACGGCGACGAGCTCCGGGTGGCCGTCGACCCAGAGCGACCCGCGGACCTTGACGCGCAGCAGGTTCCGCGGGCGCTTCTCCTGGCCGATGCCCACGGGCATGCGCTGCGTCTGCTTGAAGACGAGGCCGCGCTTGTTGAAGATCTCGCAGTCGCGGTGCTCGTTGAACGCGATGAGGCGGCACTTGCACTCGACGTGGACGGAGCAGCCCGGCTCCAGGTCGTCCCAGCCGTAGGCGTCGTCGACCGCTTCTTCCACCTCCTCCTCCGGCGGCGGCTTCGCCATGGCGTTCTGCGACGGGTCGAGCTCGAAGAGCTCGTCCGTCGGGATCTCGACGTCCGTGACGTCCTCGACGCCCAGCTCGGGCTCGTCGCCGTCCTCGGGCGGGAGCTGGGGCCGCATGTCCTTGGTGATGTAGTCCGCGGGGCTCTGCCAGACGCGGGGGCCGTCCCTGATCACGTCGGGCGTGCCGCTGATGTCCGCGCCGGAGTCCTCGACGTCGAAGACCTTGACGCCGTCGACCTCCAAGTCGGGGCAGTCGTCGCTGTCCGCGACCGTCGACGCGTCCGCGCCCCGGAGCCGCAGCTCGTTCTGCTCCTCGATGGACTCGATGTTCGCCTGGCCTAAGGGCGGCGTCTCGAAGGACGGGATCTCCTCGCCGCCGGAAGACGAGATGACCTCGGGCGGCGGGCCCTCGACGACGGGCTCCTCCGTGCTCGCCTCGACCTCGACGAGCGCCTCCGCGGCCTCGTCGACGGGGTCGTCGAACAAGGAGATGCCCTGGAGGTAGTCCTTGCCCTTGATGACGAAGCGCGACACCTCGCGCTTGAGCATGCCCTCGAGCCCGTAGCGGAGCCCCTTGGGCAGCCCGTCCATGCCGTCGCGGTGCTTCGCGAGCCAGTGGATGTTGTTCTTGCGCCGCAGCTTCCGCAGCACCGTGCGCTCGTAGTCCTTGGGCCCGACCTTGATGACGCGCAGGCTCACGAGCTCGAAGGCGATGTCGCTGCGGCGGCTCGGCATCTCGACGTCGTTGACCTGCTCGTCCACGAGCTTCACGACGGACCCGTCGCCGCCCTGGGAGCAGTCGCTGCAGGGGCAGATGGTCTTGAGCTCGATCTCGAAGATGAGCGTCGCGTTCGGCGGGATCTTCGGCGGCGCGCCCCGGTCGCCGTAGGCCTTGGACGGCCGCACGGCGAACTGCGACACCTCGTCCGTCCGCATCGTCTTCAGCGCCTCGCTCATGCCCGTGACGACGCCGGGGTCGCCGATGCGGATCTTCTTCCGCTGCTTGCCCTTGGTCGTCACGACGACCTCGTGGTTCTGCGCGAGCTTGCACGTGTAGTGGATGGCGACCTCGTCGCCCGTCTTCGGCAGGTTCGGGCAGCCGTACTCGTCGCCGATCTTGAGCGTGAGCTTGAGCACGGACCCATCGGAGTTGATGTCCTCGGCGCCCGCGTAGTTGTCCACCTCCCCGATGTGCGTGTCCTCGCCGTTCATCGCGCCGCGCTCTGCGACGCCGCGCAAGTCGACTTCCACGGACGGGGCTGCGCCGATTGGCGGTGAGACGTCCAGGGTGGCCAGGGGTAAAATTATCTGTGTCTTCAATTACGACTGCAACATAATAGCTCGCTGCTCCTCCCCGTGCTCGGCCCGTCGCTCTACCTCGCCGCGCGCCCCCCGCTCCCCGAGGCGCCTTAGTCGTCGGGGGTGGACCGGTCCCCCCGGCGGATCTGCGCGAAGCGGGTCCGCGGCGCGCGGTCGAGGACGACGACGCCGAGCGCGTCGACGCGGCGAACCGCGCGGCAGAGAGGCCGAGTGTGGCCGGGGGTAAAAACATACACTAGTTACGCCGCGGCGCCGTCCGGCCGGGGCTCGAGGTGGACGACGCGGACGCCCTCGTCGTCGACGTCGCCGTCGTCGCCGTCGTCGTCGTCCTCGCCCCAGCCCGTGCAGAACACCATCGCGAGCCCGGGCCGCTTCGGTGCGTGCTGCGCGTCGTAGCAGAAGGCGAGGGCGCCCGGCGACGGCGCCGGCGGCGACGCGGCGCGGCGCGGCGGCGGGAAGGCCGTCGCCTCGGGGTCCTTGGGCACGGCGACGGCGGCCGCCGGCCCCGTCGCCCAGGCCCAGAGGCCGCCGACGTAGGACCGCGGCGACGCCCCGCGCGCCTCGACGGCCTCGGCGGCGACGGCCGCGGCGTTGCGCTTCGCGACGCGCAGCGCCTCGAGCTCCGCGCGGATCTCCGCGAGCTCGCCGTCGCGCTCCGCGCCGCGGCGGCGCTCGCGCGCGAGCTCCGAGACGGCCGTGTCGAGGCGGTCCGCGAGGTCGTCGCGGGGCCGCGCGCTCCGCGACCGCGCCCGCGTCTCGCCCTTGGGCCGGGGCCGCAGCGGCGGCCGCAGCAAGCCCCCGCGGTCCTCGCGGTGCCCCGCGGCGTCGAGGAGCAGGTTCATCTCGCGGAACGTCGGCGCGCGCGACGGCGCGGGCTCCACGGACCGGGGCCGCGGCGGCGACGGCCGCAGGGGCTCCTGCCACTTGCGGCTCCCGGCCTTGCTCCAGCAGCTCGACGGCGGCGCGCCGTCCTCGGAGTTCGACGAACTCGACCAGCGCCTCGCTCCGGCCGGCGGCGTCCGCGCGCGGTCCTCGTCCCCGTCGGCGAAGAGCGCCCGCTCGAGCGGCAGCGCCGTCGCCTCGACGCGCGCCGCCGCCGGCAGGGGCGCCGGGTCGAGGTCCGCGTGGGCCTTGAGCCGCGCGCCCTCGCTCCGCGCGGCCGCGAGGCGCCGCTCGAGGCACCGCGTCTGGTCCTCCTGGACGAGCAGCGCGTCGAGGACGCGGCTGCCCCGCTTCTGCTGGCGGTACGTCGGCATGGCCCGCGTGATCTCGTAGGACTCGTCGCCGGGGTCCTGGATCACCATGGCCGGCGGCTCGTCCTCGGACGACGAGCCCAGCGGGAAGGGCGCCACGGGATTCGACGACCGGCGCTGCGCGCTCGACGGCGACGCCGACGCGGCACTCTGCGGGGAGGCCATGCGGCGGCGACGACCCGCGGCCACCGCGGCCACGCCCTGCCCGGACTCGGCGGCTTCGCGCCGGGACTGGCGTTCACGGGCAGCCTGGGTCGTTTTTTGAGCCAGATGTTGCAGCTCACTGAAACAAAGTTGAATGTTCAGCAAACTCTTTTACTTTCGCCTCTAGCACACGAGGTCGATGTCCGTCTCGTAGTTGTTGAAGTGGAAGGCCCAGAAGTCGCGGCCCGGCGGGAGCTCGGCCTCAAGGATCTCGTTCGTCGCGGCCATGGCGCGCGACTCGAGGACGCTCTCCTCGGAGACGGCCGCCCAGTCGTTCTCGAAGCCCTCGCGCTCCGGCGCGACCCAGGCGTGGGTGATCTTGTTCCCCTGGGCGCGCCAGAGGACGAGGGTCGTCGCCGGCGCGCCCTTGAGCACGGCCGCGAGGCCCGGCGCTTCGCCTTTCGCGTAGACGTCCAAGCACAAGCTCGCGTCGCCGGGGCCCGGCGGCGTCTCGGCCTCGTCGCCGGCCTCCATGAAGACGCGGACCTTGGGCGTCGCGCGGCCGAGGCGGCTCGACGCCGCGACGATCGCGTCGACGGCCGAGGGCCCGGCGCCCGACGACGGCCGGTTGCCCGCGCGGAGCGGCGCGACGGCGAGGCCCGCGTCGGCGAAGCAGCCCGCGAGGGCGCCGCGCCGCGCCGCCGGCGGCGCGTCGGAGTTGAAGACCTCGAGCACGCGGTCCACGAGCTGGCAGCACGTGAACGCGAAGTCGGCCGGCGCGTCGTCCGTCGCGGGCGACGGCTCCCGCGCGGGCGGCGGCGGCGACCGCGGCCGCTTCGACGGCGGGGGGCGGTCGTCGGCGCGCGGCGCCGGCGCGGTCCGCGGCGCGTCGCGCGGCGGCTCCCGCCGCGGCGGCGCCCGCCGGTCGTCGCGCGGCGGCCGCCGCCGCCGGTCCGGCGAGCGGCGCCGCGCGGCCGGGTCCGGCCGCCGCGCGGCCTCGCGCATCTTGCGGTCCAGGGCCGCGCGCTCGCGCTCCTCGCGCGAGAGCTCGCGCGTCGGCTGGCCCTTGCCGCGGTAGTCGCCCGCGTCGGCCGGGCCGCCGCGGCCGCGCGGCGGCGACGGGCTCCGGCGGCGGTCGCGGCGGTCGCCGCGGCGGTCGCCGCGGCGGTCGCGGCTCCGGCTCCGGCTCCGGCTGCGCCGCCGGCCGGCGTGCCGCCGGCCGCGGCCGCGCGACGAGCCGCCGCTCGAGGAGCTCGAGCTCGAGCTCGAGCTCGACGACGAGCTCCGGGAATTGCCTTGGCCGCGCGCACCCAGAGCCCCTTGTCGTTCTGCACCATCTTCAGGTTGCCCTCGCCCTTGCGCGCGCCCGCCTGCGCCGCGCCGTCGCGCTGCTCGCTGCCGAAGGACCCGAGCACGCCCCAGCCGACGGAGCCCTGCTCGAAGCCCCGGTTGGTCTGCGGCTTCTCCGTCGTCGAACCGCGGCCGCGGCCCAGCGCGCGCCGCTCCGTGGCGTCGCGCGAGATGACCATGGAGTCGAACTGGCGGTGCTTGGCCAACTTGGCCTCGTCCTGCTCCCAGCGCGGCGCCTCCGGGTCCGCGACGGGCACGAACTTGACCATGATCGATGCGGCGGTGCGGTGCGACGGGCGGCGTGGAGCGTCGGCGCACGCTGCCAAGCGCCGAGACGAGAGGCGTCCTTTGATCGAGTGGTAAAATTTGTCGCACCTGCGCACAGTCGCCGCGAGCGCTGACGCTGGGCGGGGCCCGCCGACCCCCAGCGGCGCCCGCGCGCACCGCACACCACGGCAACGATGGGCGCGCGCACGCCCATCCTCGAGGAGATGCACCTCTGGGTCCTCCTGGCCTACAGCAGCGCCCTCTTCGTCCTCGCCGGCGCCTGCTGGCTCGGGGCGCGCCTCGTGCGGCGCGCGACGGAGCGGCAGGATAGCCTCGAGGCGGAGCAGGCGAAGAAGGGCGAGTACATGCCCTGGGCGACCGTGCGGTCCGTGGCGAGCTCCGCGCCCGCGACGCCGTGGCGGCCGCGGCTCGAGGCCGCGCTCGAGGTCGCGACGTGGACGCTGGCGTGGTGGGGCATGAGCGTGACGTTCACGCTGGTGAACAAGTACTTTTTGGGCTACTGGCGGCCGCCCGTGCGACACGGCCAGACCGTCGCGCCGGGCTTCCCCTTCGCGGTGACGACGACGACGATGCACCTGTCGATGAAGGTGCTGCTGTCGACGGCGACGGTCAAGTGGCGGAGCCGGCGCCTCGAGCGGCGCCTGGCGAGCGACGAGGCGTCCCACGCCGAGGCGACGGCCATCGTCGTGCCCGAGCCGCTCACGGCGCGCGCGCGGTGGCGCTTCGCCGTCCCCGTCGGCGCTTCGACGGCGCTCGATATCGCGTGCTCGAACCTCGCGCTCATCTTCATCACCGTGAGCTTCTACACGGTCGCCAAGTCGTCGACGCTGGCCTGGACCCTGGTCTGGGCCGTCGCGCTGCGGCTCGAGCCCTGCCGGCTCCGGACGTTGGTCCTGGTGTCGTTGATCATCCTCGGGCTCGTGCTCGCGACGGAGGGCGAGCGCAAGGGCTCCGCGGGCTTCTCCATGCCCGGCTTCGCCCTCGTCACGGTGGCGTCGTGCCTCGGGGGCCTGCGGTGGTGCCTCACGCAGGCGCTCTTCGACCAGGACGAGGCGTGCGCCGAGGATCCCGTGGTCGTGGTTTATCACGTGAGCCCCGCGGGCGTCGCGACGCTGCTGCCCATCGCGCTGGGGCTCGAGGCGCGGCACCTCTGGCACTGGGCGTCCCTCGTCGCGCCGGAGGCGTTGGGCCAGGCGTTCGTCGCGGCCGCGGCGGCCGGCGGCGTCGCGTACGCGATGCTTCTCGCCGAGGTGCGGCTGCTCCACAGCACGTCGAGCCTGTCCCTGTCCGTCTTCGGCGCGCTCAAGGACGTGTCGCAGATGGCCCTCGCGGCCTTCACCTTTGGGGACGAGCTGACGCCCCAGTCCATCGCGGGGCTCGGCGTCGTCCTCGCGGCGTCGTTGGCCTACGCGCGCTTCCGCGAGCGGCTCAAGCCGAGCGACGAGGGCCGGCGGCGGCGGCAGCCCCGCTACCGGCGAGTCGGCGCCGCGTCCTACGACGCGGACATCGACGGCAACGGCCTCGAGGACGACGACCTCATGGACGACGACCTCAACGACAACACGCTCGAGCTCGTCGACATCTAGGGAGGTGCTAATTGCGGCGACTAGGCCGGGCTCACTCGGTCTCGAGCGCCGCCGGCGCCCGGGCGACGCAGAGCCGGAAGTCCATGCTGTCGTTCGAGTTCACGCGGCGCATGAGCTCGACGAGGCTCTCCGTCGGCGACGGCGATCGCCGTCGCCGCTCGTCGCAGTCCAGGCGCGCGCGGAAGCGCGCCGCGGCGCGGATCGGCTCCGCCGCGGCGAGCTCGAGGATCGACCGCGGCGACGGCGCGCACGCCGCCGCGCGCTCGGCGTCCGGCGCCGGGTCCGGCGGCGGCGCGGCGGCCGACGGCGGCGCGATGGCCGACGGTGCCGGCGGCCGCGCCGCGGGTCGCGGTCGCACCGCTGGCCGATCCGATTTAAAACTGGGCTGCCCTGCAAGCTGCGACAGCTGCGAGCGCACCGTCGGGGATCTCCGCAATGGCCTGTGGAGTTTGCGCAAGACCGGCACGGGCCGAGACGCCTTTCGTTGCTGCGCCGCCTTGTGCATCGCGCGTGCACAAGTGCACACGCGCCAACAGACAGCAGGATCTGCGGATTTTAGAAGAGCCTCAATCCTCGAATGCCAGCAGGACGAGTTGAGGAGTGAGTTTTTCGCTTGTTGACTTTTATCGCACGATCAGCGAGTTGAACATAACTAGGCTAGGCTGGGGCAGCTTCTCAGAGTGCGACGATGATGAGTAATCCATCATCCCAAACACATTGCATGCATGCCAATGGCGACGTGGACGTCCAAGCTCGGCGCGACCTATCCCCTCGCCACTATCCAAAAGAAGGACAAACAGGCCCACGCGACGCTCCAGAAGCTGCGCCGTCGGCCCGAGAACGCGACGTGCGCCGACTGCGGAGCCAGGGGCACCGTGTGGGCCATCGTCAACCACGGCACGTTCGTCTGCCTGCGCTGCGCGTCGGTCCATCGCTCGCTCGGCACGCACGTGTCGAAACCGAAGGGCTGCACTGGCACGTACCTCTGGGGCGACGACGAGCTCGCGAGCATGGCGCGAGGCAACGCCGCGGCGAACCGCGCGCTCGGCGGCGACGCCATCGAGGTCCCACCGGACCCCTCCGACGCGGTCCTGCGCGCGTTTCTCGTCGACAAGTACGACCGGAAGAAATGGGCGCCGCGCGCGCCGGAGCCGGCTCCGGACCTCCTCTCCTTCGACGACGACGAGCCGCCGCCGCCGCCCGCGGCCACGCCCGACTTCTTCGGCTCGTACGGGCTTTGATTTTTACTTCGTAGAAAGGCCGCGCGCCGCCACCTCTGGTCGCCCGCGCGGTCCCTCGGCGGGGTGGAGTTTCTACGTGAAGGTCTTCTTCGTCATGATCGCGTCTGCGAGGGGGCATCGGGGGTTTCCTTCGAAACAAGACGTCGGAACGCGGGTCCGCGCAGAACTCGTCGGGGGAGATCTCGCCGTCGTTGTCGGTGTCCGCGCGCTCGATCATCTCCATGAGCTCCGCGTCCGACATGGTCTCGCCGAGCTCCTTCGCCACGCGCTTGAGGTTGCGGAGCGTGATGTGGCCCGTCTGGTCGTCGTCGAAGAGGTTGAACACCTTCTGGATGTCCTCGCGCCTGCGGGCGTCGCGTGGGGCGCGGGCGGGGCGCGCGGGGGGAAAAGAGACGCGGCGGCGCGCGTGTCCTTGTCGGACATCTTCGCCGTCATCATGTCGAGGAACTCCTCGAAGTCGATGGTGCCCGAGTTGTCCTTGTCGATGTCGCCGATCATCTGGTAGATGGTCTGGTTCTTGGCCTCGAAGCCGAGGGACTGCATGGCCGCCTTGAGCTCCTTGGGGTCGATGGTGCCGGAGCCGTCCGTGTCGAAGAGGTTGAACGCCTCGCGGATCTCCTCGATCTCGTCTTCGCTGAGGCCCGGGCGCTCGTACGTCTTCGCGGGCCGCTTTCCGGGGCTACGGCGCATCATGGTGACGGAGCGGGCGGTCGCGCGCGACGAGAACTGTGGCTGCCCACGCGATGGGAGAGCGGCGCGCTTTCGAATCGATTCGAATAGGACCTAGTTATTATTATGATTTCGTATTAAATTTTAGCGTGGAGAAACTTGTGGAGACGGGGGGCGACACCAGACCGCGACGCCGTCCAAGCGCGCGAGCATGGTGGCCTGAACCCCGCCAAATTGACGAGGGCGCTCCTTACCCGACCCCTCGCGCGTGGGAAAAGGGCCGGGGACCTAGGTCTTGGTGGAAGTCCGGGCAGCGATGGCGACCGCGCGCGCGCGCAGTGGCCGCGGTGTGCTCGAATCGATCTGTGATGCGCATCTCGACCTTGGCGGTCGCGTTCTTGCGTCCGATCTGGTCCATGGGTCCGTTCGACCTGCCTGGAGGCCCCAACACTAACGTGAGCAGCCCCTTGGCCAACCAGGTACACTCGATGACGCTGTGCGCCATGCAAGTCGTTCGAGGCCGCCGCGCGAATGGCTCCGGTCACGGCGCGGTCCATGGCGCGGCGCTGTGTTCGCCGACATACTAGAGCGTGGTACTCGCCGCTCGGCTGCGCGTGGTGCCACCCTGGGGCTGCCACAGAGGCGCTCGAAGCTGTGCCGCCACTGGGAATCGCCGCTCCGGCGCCCAAGCGTTCGTCGACACAGCCAATTCCCGCGAGCAGAGCACCTCCGGAGTCACCCATGGGTACGAGGTGTCCACCACCGCCACCCTGACTCCAGGCGTCGCGCTCCATGGCCACGCGCGACGAGCCGGGCTGCCCCTCGAGGCGCTCCGGGGCTGCTGGATGCCGGCGGATTCGAATCCGACCAATGAAATGCTTGCATTATATCGATTTTGTCGATTTTCGACGCCTCCGAGCGCTCCGACCGCGTCGCCAGACGTCCCCACAAGTCCATTTACGCGCTCAGGACCCTCATATCAGTCCGTGCACCGATTTGGCGACGCTCCTGCGCCTGCTGGGCCGAGTTTGAGGCCGGTGTCACCCCCCTTGTGGAGAAGCCAGATGAAGCCGCATGCCCAAGAGCACATGCGGCCTATAGGTCTCGGACGGAAGAAGTAGGACCTAGTTATGCGGCGGCCACGCGATTGGCTCGTTTCCCAGCTCATCACGAGAGGTAGCGCGCGATGTCCGCGGCGATGGTCGCGTGGGCCCAGACGACGGACGCCGTGTCGTTGACGAAGGGCGCGAACGCGCCCGGCGCGTACATGTCGCGGCAGTGCGCCGTGCCGTCGAGCTCGACGACGTGGACGCCGGCGGACGTGCGCTGGCTCGGCGCGTGGTAGGCGTCCGTGTCGTTGACGATGCCCAGGGAGTGCCAGGGGTCCATGTTGCCGTTCACCGCCGTTATGTTGATGCCCTGGAGCGTGCGGCCTCCGTAGAACGCGTTGGCGACGAGGCCCGCCGCGTCCGCGCGCGGCCCGTCGTACTCGTCGACGCCAAAGCCTCCCGAGCACACGGCCCGTCCCGCCGTCGACACGTTGAGGTAGGCGCCGAAGGCCGCGAAGGGCGACTTCGGCGAGATCGTCTGGAAGAAGCCGAACTCGTTGCAGCTCTGCCAGATCCACTGCCGGTCCGCGGATACGCCGTCGAAGGTCGCGTTCCGCAGCACGGAGACGTAATCCTTCTCAAAGTCCGACGACAGACACGCAGTCCCGTTCGAGGAGAAGAGGCTCGTCGCCGCGGCGAGCGCCTCGATCGGCGAGGGCGCGCCGTCGACGGCGTCGCAGACGTCGGACACGTAGGGCGGGCCCGCCTCGAGGTTGTACTGGACGACGCCCTGGAAGTTGCCGAAGATCGACGAGTAGTACTGCGCGCGGTCGACGCCGCTCGCGATGGATCCGCACGGCTCGAGCGCCTTCGGCGGCGCCGCGCCGGCCTCGAGCGCGGCGACCAGGTCCTCGACGCCCCGTCGGACGGCGTCGGCGCAGGACGGCGAGCCGCCGATCAACGGGTAGGCGAGCGCGTCGCCGACGACCTCGGAGTACTGCGCGAAGTCGTACTCGGCGAAGACGGGCGCGGACGACGCGACGACGCCCGCTGTCAGGAACGGGTACTTCTCCTTGAACCACGCCGCGAGGTCTCCGGGGTAGCTGCCCCCGAAGGCGATCCACTTCGAGTCCATGCCCGGCGACGCCTTGAGCTCGAGCGGCGGCGTCGACGCGGCGTCCGGCGCGTCGGGCGAGTACGACGACACGTAGACGCGGAACCGCGCGAGGTCCGCGAGGGCCTGGGCCGACGCGAGGTAGCGGAGGTTTGCGTCGTCCATGTTCGCCGTCGGCAAGGACTCGCCGTAGAAGCGGTGCTCGAGGGTCACGAGGAGCGCCCGGTGCTCCTTCGCCTGCGCGTAGATGAACATGCGCGGCGACATGGGGCCCTGCGGACCCTCGCCGCCGATGTAGAGGAACACGGGAAAGCCCGCGCCGCCCCAGAAGCTCTCGTCGACGTAGTACCGCTGGCTCCATTTCCGCGTCGGCGATGCGACGTCGCTCTCGAAGTGGTCGAGCAGGGCGTCGTGGTAGAAGTGCGTCGTCGAATTGGCGGCCTCCGCGTCTTTCAAGTGCTTCAAGACGTGGTTCACGGCATGGTCCGTCCTCGCCGGCGCGCCGGGCGGCACCACGGTCCGGGCGGCGACGGCGACGAGCAGGCTGGCGGCGACGACGAGCCGCATGATGCGCCGCGGGGGGACGAGATGCACTTGCCCAATGGGCAGCCTTCGCGTTTGCGAAGGTGCAACGTCGCGTGCAACGCCCGAGCAGCACTTTGCCGTGATAACTTTGGCGGCTGTGGCAGCTAAGCTGAGTTCGAACTCGCCCGGCCTGCTGCGGTTGGGCAGCCCGGGTGGTCCGCCCGGCGCGTGTGGGCGGCGCTTCCCGCGTTTCCGGCGGCCGCCGAGACGCTCGCTACCGGCCCCGTGGATCGGGGCCTCGGAAAGCCGGTGTCGCGACCCATGGACCGGCAGCCCGCGACGGGGGCGGCGCCCTCCGCGTCGGTCTTGGAGGGGACCTACAACCAGACCTACCTCATCCGGACCGTGGACAAGGGCGGGTCCGAGGCCAAGGGCGGGTCCGACGACGACGACGACGACGACGACTACCAGGAGCGCCGCGTGCTCTTCCGCTGCGGCAACTGGTGCTACACGGGGAACGTGACGCTGGACAAGGCCAAGGTGCTGCTCAGCGACCTGCCGCGCATCATCCCGACGCTCCAGCGCCAGCAGAACCGGCTGCATTTTTATTGTAATGCCTCCAACGTCCCCTCGGAGTCGTCCTTCAAGGAGCCGATGGGCTTCGTCGGCGACGCGTCCGAGTTCGCCGCCGCGGAGCTCGCGTCCGCGCGCGTGCACGAGGAGCTGCGCAAGTGGACGGACATCTACACGTGGATGGAGACGGACGCGGCGAACACCTACTTCGAGCTCCAGTGCGCGCCGCCGCCCTGCATGGACGGCATCGCGCTCGCCGCGTCCAAAACGTACGCGCGGGGCCTCGTCTTCATCACGGTCTACTTCGAGAAGGCCTTCTACGTCGTCGTCCAGGACGGCGAGGGCGACCAGCCCCTGCTCGACGTCAAGTTCCCCGACGTGTCCCAGCCGGGCCAGGGCATCCACGTCGCCAACTACGCGGGCGACCGGACGTGGCTCAAGCTCGCGTTGTGGCACAGCCTCGCGGCGGAGAACGCGCCGACGCGGTCGAGCCCGACGCCGGCCCAGTCGCCGAAGACGACGAACCTCGCCACGGACTCCTACATCCAGATGTACACGGTCCTGAAGGCCACGGAGGAGCGCGGCGCGGCGGCGCGGAACAACGCGCACCACGACGTCCTCTTCCGCTTCGGGTCCTGGTGCTACAGCGGCTCCGTCCAGCTGACGCCCATGCTCGACCTCGCGGACCTGCCCCACCTCATCCCCGCGCTCCGCATGCAGCAGTCGCGCCTCGACTTCATGTGCGACGTCTCCGCGATGCCCATGAACTCGCCCTTCGCGCGGCCCATGTCCTACTTCTCCAAGGTCGCGCCCGTGCTCGAGCGCGAGCTCGTCGCGGCCGAGGCCGTGCTGGCCAAGCTCCTCCAGCAGCTCGCGCAGTTCGAGGTCGGCGGGTCCGTCGCGTCGTGGCTCGAGGGCGACTCGACGCAGTCGTTCTTCGAGTTCCAGCTCGCGCTGGACAAGGACCTGGAGCGCGTCTTCAAGAACGTGGAGCTCCTGGCGTCCAAGTGCTACAACCCCAACGGCGTCGTCCTCATCGCCATCTACTTCCTCGGCACGTTCTACGTCGCGTTGGGCGACTCCGCGGGCGAGCAGCCCCTCCTCGACTCGCGGTTCCCCGACGTGTCCTCGAAGGGCCGGGGCTACCTCATCGCGTCCTACGCCGAGGGCACGCCGGCCTGGCCCCAGCTCCGCAAGGTGTCCATCTGGCAGACCGCGTCGGCGATGGCCGCGGAGCTCGAGGCGCGCGGCGCGAAGGCGAGCGACTCCGAGCCCTCGCGGGGCCCCGCGGCCGTCGAGGCGGGCACCAAGGGCAAGGTCCACCCCCTGCTCTCGCGCGAGCACGTCGCCGAGGAGGGCGCGGCCATGCACCGCGAGGACGGCGGCGCGACGACGCGCGTGGACCTCGGCGGCCGCGGCGGCGCGGACGCCAAGGCGCCCGCGCCGTCGTCCGCGGCCCAGGCCAAGGGCGTCGCGAGCGCGGACCCGGAGAACGAGCGACCAGCCGCCAAGGGCGACGACGACCCGGAGCCCGACGCCAAGGCCGCGCCGGCCGCCGCGCCCGAGGAGACCAAGGAGCAGCGCGACGCGAGGATCGAGGCCCTGCTCACGGCGCAGCCCAAGAAAAAACCCTCGGGCCTCGCGCCGCTCTCGCCCCTGGGCTCCAAGGTCAACGCGCCGCACCGCGTCCCCGCGATGGCCGGCGGCGCCGCGCTCAACGAGAAGCTCGCGAAGATGCGCGCGGAGCTCGGCACGCTGGGCAAGGAGGCGCCCTGGGACGAGTTCGGCCGGCCGAAGGCCCTCGCCTTCAAGAAGTAGGCCGACTTCTCGAAGCCCCCGCGGCGCGGCGCCCGCGGCGACGTTCGAGATCGAGACAGACCGCCCCGCCCCGCGCGATCGCCGTCGCGTGTTGCTAACGGGGAGTTCTCGGAACCGACGAGGGGGGGGGCGCGGCGGGATGGGCTCAGGCCGTCACGGTCATGGCGTCCTGCTTCGCCTGGAGGAGCATGGACAGCGCCGCGTCGACGTCGTTGCCGCAGAAGGCGAGCGCCTTCTCGGCCTCGTCGACGGTGAAGCCCATCTCGAGGAAGTGGGAGAGGCGCGCGTCGACGACGGCCGCCGGCGGCGCGCCGCCGGGGAGCGAGCTCTGCCAGCCGCCCTTGTCCGGGTCGTTCGGGACGGGCTCGGGCCGCTTCTTCGGCCGGTCGGCGGACGCGTAGGGGTCCGGCGTCTCCGCGAGGACGTCGTGGGGGCTCGCGCCGCTCCCCGCCCGCGCCGCGAGGAGCTTCGTGAGCGCCGCGTCGACGTCGTTGCCGCACGTCGCGAGCGCGCGCTCCGCGTCGGCGACGGCGAAGCCCATGGCCTCGAAGCGCGCGAGGCGCCCGTCGAGGTCCGCGGCGGTGATCGGCGCTCCGGCGTCCTCGCGGAAGCCGCCCTTGTTCTTGTCCACGGGCGCCGGCGCGAAGGGCTTGGGCGCCTTGGCGCCGTACGGGTCCGCGGCCTCCTCGAGGACCGCGTGCGGCGAGTCGCCGTACGCGCCCGGCGCCCCGCCGAGGAGCATGGACAGCGCCGCGTCGACGTCGTTGCCGCAGGCGGCGAGGGCCCGCTCCGCGTCGGCGACGGCGAAGCCCATCTCCTTGAAGCGCGCGAGGCGCCCGTCGACGACGGACGCGTCCGCGCCGTCGGGGATGCCGAAGCCGCCCTTGTTCGGGTCCGGCGGCGCCGGCGAGAAGGGCTTCGACGACCCGTCGCCGTAGGGCTTCTCCGCCGTCGCCAGCAGGTCGAAGGGGTCGCCCGCGGCGGGGACCTTGCCCGACGTGAGCATGTCGACGGCGGCGTTGACGTCGTTCCCGCAGCGCACCATGGCGATCTTCACCTGGTCCGCGCTGAAGCCCATCTTCTCCAGGTCCTGCACCGTCGACGCGTCCACCATGTCGACGAGGCCGCTCATGGCGCTTTCGGCGCGGCTGGTTCTCCGCGGGCGCGCAGGATGGCTGCCGCGCTTCTCCCCCCCGGGGCCGAGAATCGAGGTTTGGGCTGCCTCGGCATCTCCTCGGCACCATTGCCTTCGCTGAATGCGCCGCTCGATTATGCCACTATTGCCGGAGGCCTTGCGGATCGAGCCCGACGAGCTCCGAGGGCCATTTGTGTTCGCCGTCGTCGTCGCCATCTTCTACGTCTTGCTCGGCGACATCTCCGAGGAGGTCATCGACGCATGAGCGCCACCCTCCTGACGCTCGAGCCCGACGAGACGGCGCGCGCCTATCTCGCGCGCGCCTTCGCCGCGCCGCGGCTCCTGGGCATCCCGGCCCTCGACGCGGCGCCCTGCCGCGGCGGCGAGATCGTCGAGCTCTACGGCGAGCCGCAGACGGGCAAGTCCGAGCTGCTGTACCGCTGCGCGGCGACGTGGGCGCTTCCGGCGAGCCGCGGCGGCGGCGCGCGGCGCGTCGTCCTCTTCGACACGGAGCACAAGTTCCAGCTGCCGCGGCTGCGGGCCGTCGTCGCCGCGGTGGCCGCCGCGTTCCCCGCCGCCGACGACGCGGAGCCCGCGGCGGCCGCGGCGGACGCGGCGCTGGGGAGAATCTTGATCGCGCCGTGCGGCACGACCCTGGACTTCCTCTGCCAGCTCGAGCTCGTCGAGCAGCGCGCCGAGTCCGAGGAGGCGCCGCTCCTATTGGTCGACTCCATCGGCGCCTTCCTCTTCACGGAGGACCGGCCCGCGGACCGGAAGCTCGCGGCGCCGTCGCTCACGCACGCGGCCGTCCGCGCGATCGCGCGGCTCCTCGCGCGGAGGCGGGCGACGCTCGTGGCGGCGAAGCCGGCCTACTACGAGGCCAAGGCCGGCGACCCCCGCGGCGACTACCACCCGGAGTACCTGCCGCGCGCGTGGACCGCGCTCGTGAGGCGGCGCGTCTGCCTGTCGCGCGAGTCGCGGACGACGCACGGCCCCTGCCGCGTGGCCGCCAAGTACGGCGACTTCGATGCGGACGCGCGGCGGCCGACGCGCCACTTCTCCTTCCAGCTGGACGCGCGGGGCTGCTCCGACTTTAAGGACTAGGGAGTCGACTAGGGCGCTTTAGACCGTGCTCAGCCCCGCCGGGCCCGTCTCCGCGACGCGCGCCGCGAGCTCCGCCTCGTCCGCCGCCGCGGCGACCCCGCGCGGCCGCCGGTACACGCGCGCCGAATACGTGCATGGCGGCGGCGGTCCGCCGCGCATGTAGACGTCGAAGGCCGACTCTTCTTCGAAGAGGTGCCTCGTGACGCAGCCGGGTCCGCTGACGCCCGAGAGAACGACGTGCAGGCTCGTGCCCGAGAGCGTGATCTCGTAGGCGCCGGGCACCTCGAGCTCCAGAGCTACCAAGTAGACGCGGCTGTCGTCGCGCGCGTAGGCGCCGAGCGACGCGCCGAGCGCGACTCGCAGCGGCGTGCCCGTGTCCGGCCGCTCGACGGTCTGGCCGCCGCGGAAAAAGTTCCAGGACGCGCGCCAGTCCGCGATGTAGAGCACGCTCTGAAATAGGGACCCGTTCTGGAAGGTGATGGTAAAAGTCTCGGGCTTCGCGGGCGCCTCGGGCTTCCGGGCCCAGCTCGGCACGTCGTCCACGGGCGGCGCCTGGAAGCGCGACGGCGGCGGCGGGTCGGGAATATAGGGCATGGCCATCGTTCGTTGCGAGGCTGCCCACCTCTCACTTGGCAATGGGACCGTGGATGGCAGCCCTCAAACACGCGGGGGCCCGGGCATAAGCGGCCGCCACGGAGAGCGTTCAACTTTGGCTTGTTGCCTTTCGTTTCAACACAATAGACTGCGTTATAGCGGCGTGTGTGGGCAGCCCAGCGCTCAGTGTTTGATCGATAACACGACGTTCGACGCATAAACAATGGGCAAGGGCGAAGGCAAGGGCGAGGGCCCCATCGGTTCGGCGTGCACCTGCGTCGGTTTGCTCGGCGAGCTGCTCTGCGACTGTGCTCGATGCAAATGCGAGGAGGCGCTCAAGGACTTCATCTGCATACCCGTGAAATTTATGTGCGCCGCGGCGCATCACATCGCGCGCCGCATCGACGCTCGCCGCACCAACGCGCGCCGCATCGCGCCGCGCGCCGCGCGCGACGCCCGCCTTCTCCCCGCGCAGGCTGCCCTGCTGCCCCTGGGAGCGCCTCCTGGACCCCGTCTTCTGCATCGCGTGCCTGCCGTGCGTGGTCGTGTCGCGCGCGTGCGGCGGCAAGCCCAAGGTCGCGCCGGAGGGCGGCGGGCCGGACGCCGCCGACGGCCCGCCGACGGCCGAGATGATGGCGAGGTGTTAGCCCCGAGCGCGCGTCCGTAATTGCCGTGGCGGCGTCGCTGTCGTCGAGCGGCCGGCCGCCGCGGCGAGGACGCCGCGGTCGACGATGTCGGCCCGGAGCGCGTCGTCGCCGCGCGCCGCGTCGTCGATGGCCGCGAAGGCGGCCGCGGCCGCGTCGAGGTGGGCGTGGATGTCCGGCGGGACGTCCTCGGGCGCGCGCGAGGACGGGCAGGCCCAGTCGAGGCCCTGGTCCGCCTCGACCCGGCGGCACTTGGGCAGCGTGTCGAGCATCTGAAACGCGAGGCCGACTTCCAGGTCAAAGAGCGCGCGCTCGACCTCGCCCCGCGACGGCGCCTCGCGGAAACGCGCCTCGTGGTAGGCGCCGAGCATCGCCCGGACGTTGGTCCGGTCGCGGCAGCAGCGCGAGTAGGGCGCGAGGTCCGCGATCGCGCCGCCGCGGTGCGCGTTCTCGTAGTCGATGAGCCGTAGAGACTCGGGCGCGAGCGCGCGCGCGAGGATGTTCCCGACGTGAACGTCGTCGTGGACGGTGACGGGCGCCGCCGCGAGGCGCGACGTCGTCCACGCGGCCGCGCGCTCGAACGCGAAGTCGTAGATGCGCGAGAATTTGTCTTCGGCCGCTCGCGAGTCGCGGACCGGCGGCCACCAGTACTTGGCGATCTGCGCCGCGTAGGTTTCGACGAGCGCGCCGCGGCCGTCGACGGCGCCCACGGACGCGGCGCCGAGCCAGCCCCGGAGCGTCGCGGGCGCGGCGGGCGCGACGTCGTCGAGGCCGTGGACGCACGCCAGAAGCCTTCCGAACCGCCGCGCGAGGCGCGCGTCCGTCTCGCGGAGGAAGTCGGCCCCGACGCGGTCGCCGGCCATCTCCGCGATCGTCATGACTCGGCTCGAGTTGTCGCCGAGGCCGCCGGCGTAGTAGATCCGCGGAGCGCACCCGCTCGCGGCCGCCGACGCCGCGACCGCGCCGTCGCGAAGGGTCTGTCGGATGTGACGCGCGTCGCCGCGGCGCACGACGGCGAAGACGACCCTCGGGACGGAGGCGTTGAAGTCTTTGTGTTGTGTCTGTGGGAGCCGCGCCACGTAGGCGACGCCGCGCTTCCCCTGGGTGGGTGCCTCTGCTGCCATGATTTCGTCGCCGTATGCCGCCCACCCGGGCACCCGCGATGCGCACGCCTCCGCGACGACCCGTTCGTCGTGCCTCACGGCCTGGCACACACCGAAGATGATCAGTGCGAACATGTGAGGCCTTGTCATCATGGCTTACTATTGCAGAACCGCTGTGGACCAGTGTCAAGAGCGGCCCGGGATAAAACCCCAGGCACGTCATGCCGGGTTCCTCGATCGCGGGCCCGGCACCCACCCACCCACCTCCTGGCCAATCAGGGACCTCCTTTTCGTTAGTTACCTTCAAGTTGCCGCTCGCCGAATCGCCACAACGCGCGCGCGCGGGACCGCGGGGCCGCGCGGCGCCGCGGCGAAATTTATGCTCGCGTCCTCGTGTAACGTCGAACGGCCCGCGCCGGCCGCGGACGCGAGCGCGCAGCCGCCGAAGAAAAAGAAGAAGAAGGCGCCGACGACGAAGCGCCCCGCGGCGGAGCCGAGCCGGGCCTCGAAGCGCACGACGAAAGCGCCCGTCATCTACGAGGGCGACGACTAGCGGAGCCGCCGCGCGGCGCGCTGCGCGGCGCGCGCGCGCGCGCGCGCGCGGGACCTACCAGTAAGCACTCAGTACACCCTGCGATTTCCAAATCCGGGCCCCGGGCCCCACCCACCCACCTCGAGCGGCATGACGTTCGAATCTTTTGTCCGTGGGTGGCCCGTGCCAGTGTGGTAAATTTTTAATTTCGGCGAGCAGCGCGGCGGCCTACCGGCGCAGTACCGTCGCCATCGGCTGCTCGCCTCGTGGCCTCTTGTTCGCGGCCTGGCGCAATGCTGCTGCGCCTCGTCGCGGTGGCCGTGCCCGTCGGCGCGACGACCCCGTTCGCGCGCCGCGTCGAGGACTACCGCGCCTCGAGCCATTACGATTCCGCGCACGCCTTCCAGAAGCCCCAGCACCCGTCGCAGTGGACCTGGCCGCAGGACCGGCACCGCGGCGGGCCGGCGTAGACCGCGGCGCCGCCGGCGAGCGCGCCGAGGCGCGCGCGGACGCGGTCGAGCTGCTTCCGCAGGGACCGGCGCCGGTTCACGGACGTCTTCGCCGCGGGCGCCTCGAGCGCCGCCGCGAGCCCGCGCGCCTGGTCCTCGAGCGCGCCCGCGTCGCAGGCGTCCAGGAAGTGGCAGTAGGCGCCGCGGAGGTCCGCGTGGTCCGAGCAGTAGTGCTCGCGGCGGCTCGAGGAGCACGCCGGGCAGACGAGGCAGAGCGTCTCGCAGACGGAGCAGATGTTCCGCGCCGCGTGCGCGCCCCAGGGCTTCGCGCAGTCCGTGCAGACGCCCACGGCCGTCGGCGCCGGCGGCGCGTCGTAGGCGTCGGCCTCGCGCGCGTCGAAGAGGAAGTTCCGACCTTTCCAGACGCCGCCGCCGTCGGGGTAGCGCTCGAGGAAGCGGTGGATGCCGCCGTCGAGCTGGTGCACGGCCTCGACGCCCTTGGACCGCAGGTAGGCCGACGCCTTCTCGCAGCGCACGCCGCCCGTGCAGTACATGAGCACCTCCTTGCCCCGCGCGCGGCCGACGACGTCCTCGCGGTCCACGTAGCGCGTCCACTCGTGCATGGTGCGGATCGGCGCGCGCTCCGCGTTCGTGAAGTGGCCGACGTCGTACTCGAAGCCGTTGCGCACGTCGAGCACGAGGAGCTTGTCCGCCGCGTCGGGCGCGGAGAGCTTGGCGCGGAAGGAAGCCGCGTCCGCGTGCGGCGCGGACGTCTCCGACGACGCGCGCACGGCCGCGCCGAGGCCCGTGCTCACGATCTCGCCGCCGACCTTGACGTAGAGGTCCGGGAAGGGCGGCCGCGCGCCCGCCGCGAGCGGCGACCGCTTCACGTCGACGGCGGCGCCGAGCGCGGCCTCGACCGCGGCCGCGTAGGCGTCGCAGGCGTCGGTCGCGCCGCTCAGCGTGCCGTTGACGCCCTCGCCGGCGACGACGACGCGCCCGCGCAGGCCGAGCGCCGCGCCCGTGGCGCGCTGCCACGCCGCGTGGGCCTCGGGGTCCGCGACGGCCGCGTAGACGTAGTACGAGAGGACCGCGCCGGCGGGGACCCCCACGCAGGGCTCCATGGCGTCCAGGGCGTCGCCGCCGTCGCTCTCGTCGTCGCTCGCGGCGACGAGCTCCGGCATGTCGGGGTAGCAGTAGTCCATGGCGTTGCAGAGCTCGTCCATGCCGTCGTCGCGCTCCCGCGACCGCGACCGGTCGCGGCGCTCCATGGCCGCGTCCTCCTGCGACGCCTCCGCGGCCCAGCGGTCGCGCATGTCCTCCTGCGACGCCTCCGCGGCCCAGCGGTCGCGCATGGACCCGAGCCGCGACTCGTCGCCGAGCACGAAGGCCATTTCGATCGATTGCCAAGGCCCAGACCGCCTCGACCTCGCCCAAGCCGGAATTGCCCATCACGATCACGACAAAGTGCAGGCGCGGAGTTTCGAGCTCTCCGCGTCGTCCATCGCGCCGTCCAAGCGCGAGGGCTGCCCTTTTCTGCCGGCCCATGTTCGGCGCCTGCCGGAGCCCGCGCGGCGGCGAGGCGCCGAGCTCGCCGGCGCCGCCGCCGCCGCCGTCGCCGACGCTCGAGGCCGCGAGCCTCGGCGAGAAGTTCGTGGGCGCCGGCCGCAACCTGAGCCTGACGCGCAAGGTGCTGCCCATCGCCTTCCGCTTCCGCGACGTCCAGCTGAAGATGCGCGCCGTGCGCAAGAAGCTGCGCGACAGCGACCCGGATAAATTCTACGCGACGCGCGACGCGACCTGGGACGCGATCCACGAGCGGGAGGCGGCGAAGATCGCGAAGATCGGGCGCGACATGGGCGGCATCTACAACAAGGCCTGGCAGTTCATGGCGACGCAGGACCTGTTGCTGCCGTCGCCCTGGGTCGCCGAGATGCAGTTCAGCTTCGAGGACTTCCCGCCGCGGCCCTGGGCGGAGCTGGAAAAGACGGTCGAACGCGCGCTCGCGGGGCGGCCGCCGAGCGCCGGCGCGCCACCGGACGCGACGGGTCTGCTCCGCTACTTCGCGTCCGTCGACCCCGCGCCGCTCGCGTCGGCGTCCATCGGCCAGGTCCACGCGGCGACGCTCTATTCCGGCGAAGCGGTCGTCGTGAAGGTCATCTACCCCGAGATCCGGACGCACATGCGGAGCGACCTCGCGAACATCGCGCAGGTCGCGGACCTCATCTTCGGCATGATCGACATGCCCATCAAGGACACGATCATGACCATCTTGGGCGAGTTCATGATCTCCTTCCCGCTGGAGATGGATTTCGGCAACGAGCTCGAGAACACGCGGCGGACGCGCGCGCTGATCGACGCCGAGGGGCTGGGAGACGCGATCCGCGTGCCGCGGTGCTACGACGAGCTGAGCGACGCGAGCGTTTTAGTGATGGAGCGGCTCGACGGGACGACGGTCGCGTCGCTCGCGGAGTCCAAGGCCGGCGGGGTTTCGGAGGAGGCGTCCAAGAGCGTGCTGCGGATCGTCGACGTCCTGGGGAAGATGATCTTCCGCGACGGCTGGTTCCACGCGGACACCGGCGTCGAGCGAGAACCGTCGCGCGAATCTCGCCGGGAAACGAGAAGAAATCCACCGTCCGTAGGCGGACACGCACCCGGGCAACGTCATGGTGCTCGGGGACGGGTCCGTCGGGCTCATCGACTTCGGCCAGTGCTGCGCGCTCAACGACGAGTCGCGGAAGCGGCTCTGCTCCCTCGTCATGCTGCTGAGATTGCGGAGCCCCGCGCTGCTCAAGCTGACCTTCGCGGACCTGCCGTCGCTCTTCGGCGACTTCGACTTCAAGTTCAACACGGCGGACGTGGACGAGATCGGCGCCCTCTTCGCCTACTTCTTCGACACGGACGCGACGGCCGGCGGCACCGTGGACCCGGCGACGTACGAGTCCATCCGGCGGACCGCGCGCTACAAGCCCGCGGCGCTGCCCATCGCGACGGACTGCCCGAAGGAGGTCGTCTTCTTCGGGCGCGTCGTCGCGTCCCTGCGCAAGTGCTTCGAGAAGGTGGGCCTCGAGGGCTTCTCCGTCGTCGACGCGTGGTACGGCGTCGCGCGGCGGTCGCTCGCGGAGCTCCGGGCGGCCGAGGACGCGCCGGACCGCGTCGCGGACTCGTTGCTCGCGCTCCTGCCCGCGGACCCGGGCCACCTCGAGCTCCAGCGGTCGCTCGCGATGCGGTTCCTCGACGTGCCCGACGCCGAAAAGGCCGCGGCCGTCGACGCGCACCGGCCGCTGCTCGCCGCGGCCGTCGCGGCGCCGGAGTTCGCGCGGAGCGTCGCGGGGTTCGCGCTGCTGCGACCCGACGACCTTCGCGCGGCGCTGGTCGTCGCCGGCGCCGCGGTCCTGTTCGCCGCGTGCTCCCTCGTCGGCACCCTCGCGCGATGGGCCCTAACGTAGAAGGCGGCGTCTCCTGTTCGCGGCGCTGTCTCTTCCCGCGTCCCCCGCGCGTCGCGTCTTCGGGTCGCACCATCGAGGGTGTAGAAGACGGCGTCTCTTACCGGCCTTCCGGGGGGAGTCCTAAGCAGCGGCCAGGCGGGGCGCTTCAGGGGGGATTGTCTCGCCGTCGACGTCGACGTCGCCGCTTAGAGGATGGAGAAGTGGAGCGTGTCGAACTGCTCCGCGAGGGTCTGGCCCGTCTGGCCCTCGCCGAACATGGCGCCGGCGATGCCGAGCATGGCGAGGCGGCCGTTGGCCATCTCCGCGTTCAGCTTCTTGACCTTCTCCTCGCCCTCGTAGGTCGCGCCGAAGAAGCCGCAGCCGTAGTCGCCGCTGTAGTTGTTCGCGGGCCACCACGCGAGCTCGACGAGGCCGACGAAGAGGAGGATCTGGAGGAGGCCCGCCGGGGGGACGGCGAAGATGCCCTTGAAGCCGTTGGGCACGTCGGAGAACTTGAGGTCCGCCGACTTGGAGAGGTAGCCAGGGAACTCGATGTCCGCGTTGTGGACGAGGACGCCCGTGATGGCGGCCATGGACACGCGGCCGTGCTTGCGCTCGACGGCGCGGCGGCGGACGAACGCCTCCGGGCCGTCCTTCTCGACGAGGCCGAGCGGGTCGTAGAAGCCCGCGGGCGCCTGCACGCCGACGACCGACTCGTCGACCATCGTGAGCGCGCTCTTGGACGCGCGCGCGAAGGACGGCAGGACCTTCGACTGGAAGGCCGCGGCCGTGGACATGCAGAGCGCGAGGATGAGCTTCATGGTTATTTAACCTGCGGAAGGGAGCGGGTGAAGCGCAGGGCGGATCGATTCGGCGCGAGCGCGGGCGCTCTCGCCGGCGGGAGCGCGGCGCGCTAGCCGGCGCTAGCGCGGCGTGCCCCCCCGGGGGCGCGGCGCCCGGGGCGCTGCCCCGCCGGCCCGTCGCTCGCGCTCGCCGGCCTCAAAATCTTGAGTGGCAGCGAGCGGCGGCGGCGAAGGCCCGCGGCCCCCGAAACGCCACGCCAACGCGACGACGCTTGACAGCGCTCGTCTAGCACTGTCGCGCGACGCTCTCGGGTCCCACAACGCTCTCGGGGCGGGCACAAAAAGCGTGGAAATTGACGCCGCATCGAACGGATTGACTTGAAGATCGCGGAGAGCCAGCCAAAAAGCCAGCCCAAGCCAGCATTGAAGCGAGGTGCCCTCCGCTCGATGGTCGACTGCTTGTTCTCGCATGCTGCCCGCCTGGAGCGACGTCGTCCAGCGGCGGCGGCGCGGCCGGCTCGGCGCCGGCGCGTTCGCAGCTTTCGTGGCGCAGCGCGCAACAGCGGTGGCGAGCGACGAGACAAAGGCTGCACCGCAGGAGCAGCCGATCGACGAGCAGGCTGCCGACGAGAAGCCGATCGACGAGCAGGCCGCCGACGAGAAGCAGATCGACGAGAAGACACACGATGACGCGGCGGACGCGTGGGAGCGCGAGCTCGCGTCGTACGCCCAACAGCGCCTCGAGGCGCTGCGGGCCGTCGTCAGAGCGAAGGCGCCGAGGCTGGGAGGCCACATCGGCCGAGCGATCACGCGCGCGCTCTGGTCCTTCGCCGCGCCTGTCCTCGCCGCCTACCGGCCAGCGCGTATCTTCGACGCGCGGCGGTCGCTCGCGGAGGACAGCAACCGACTGGCCTACGGCTTCGGCGTCGCCGTCGACGATTCGGACGACGATCCGGAGCGGTTCGCCGTCTACGTCGCCGACGTCGCCGGTGCCGTGATCGTCCGCTTCCGAGGCGACCACGTCGACATCCTGGGCGAGGGAGCGCTCGCGCGTCCCTACGACGTCGTCGCGACGCGCTCCGGGACGCTCTACGTCGCCGATCGAGACGCGAACGCGATCGTCCGCGTCGACGCCGACGGCTCCGCGGAAACCGTCGTCGCCGAGCTCTCGGCGCCCGTGGCCCTCGCGCTCGACGCCGACGGCGCGCTCGTCGTCGCGGAGCGCGGCGCGGACGCGGGCGTCCGCAAGTACTGGCTCGACGACGAACGCGAAACCTCCGCGACGCTCTCGGGCCCGGGCTTCGCGGGCGAGCCCGTCGGCGTCTGCTGCGGCGCGCGGCGCGCCGTCTTCGCCTGCACGACGTCCCACGAGGTCCGGGCCATCGTCGACGAGACGACGGCGGCGAAGCGGACCGCGCCGGCGGCGCCGGTCTCCCGCAAGGTCGCCGGCGGCGCGAACGGCCGCGGCGCGACGCCGGCCGCGGACATCGTCATCGACGCCCGCCGGGGCCTCTATGATCGGCGCACGGGCCACCGCCTCACGATGAACCAGGAGAGGTTCCGCGCGACGGACCAACTGAACGCGCCGTCGTCGCTCGCGGCGCTCCCGCCGGCGGACCGCGGCGCGCCGCTCGAGGTCCTCGTCGTCGACCGGCGCAACGCGCGCGTCGTCCGCCTCGCGCCGGGCGCCGGCGTCGCGCCGGAGGTCGTCGTCGACGGCCTCCGCGACCCGTCGGGCCTCGCGCTCGACCGGCTCCAGCGCCTCTACGTCGTCGAGGTCGCGCGGCGGCGGGTGGTGAGGTACGACCCCGTGTGGGTCTGAGTTAGATTGTTGGTGTCACAAGGAGGGCGCGCGTTCCGCTTCTAGATGGTGTTTTTACAGGAGGAAAGCGCGCGCGCGGCGCCGAAACGCCGCCGCGCCGCGCCGCGGAAGGCGCGCGTGCGCGCGACGCCCGGGGGCCGCCGCCCGCGGGACGTCATGCGCACGGCCCGCCGCTTATTGCTTCGCCGCCGCCTCCTCCGCGAGCTGCTTGTCCCGTCTCGCCATCATGAAGTCAAAATCGTCGCGGCCGATCACGCGCTTCTCGCCCTTGAAGAGCTGGTGGATGGGCGGGATGAGCGCGCCCGTGAGGGAGAAGGCGCCGATGATGATGATCACGCCGGGGGCCGTCTGCCACGGCATGGTTTACGGTGCGTGGACTCGATGTGTGTGGCAGCCTACAAGATCGCGACAGTCGAACGGGGGCGGCTTCGGAACGCGCGCGCGTCGCATTTTTCTATCGCATCGCACAAATCTCTCCGACGATGTCAAAGTCTCTCTCCCGCGCGCGCGCGGTCCCGCGCGGCCCTGAAGACGCGGCCCATTGCGTGTCGATGATCTTCTGTCCGGAGCAGGAAGAGGCATGGGCTGGAGGAAAGCTCATTTTGAGAGCGCCTGACCCGCCAAAGCAGTGCCTCTAGCGGTAGCGCGGGCGCGCATCTACGGCGCATCAACTCCGTGATCGTCGCAGCGAACGTAAGCGCGCGCAAAAAACGCTAAACGTCGCGAGGAAGCGCTCGTTTAAAGCAGCAGCCGCTCTAGTTTAAAGCCGCGGCCACCGCCGCGGGCAGCATGGCCACGCAGAACGCCCAGGTGAAGCGCCTGGACGACCCCTTCGGCGCCTTCGTCGTCGACGGCTTCAACTTCGTCAGGGCGTTCCCGGACGTGCGCCACTGGCTGCTGACGCACGCGCACTCGGACCACACGTGCGGCCTCCGCGCGAACTTCGACGCGGGCACGATCTACTGCAGCACCATCACGAAGCGGCTCGTGGCGCGCGAGTTCCCGGGGCGCCTGGGCGACCGCATCGAGACGCTGGACCCGGGCGCGTCCGTGACCGTGGGGCGGACGACGATCACGGCGATCGACGCGGGCCACTGCCCCGGCGCGGTGCTCTTCCTGCTGGCCCACGAGAGCGGCGCGACGGCGCTGCACACGGGCGACATGCGCGCTTCGCCGGCCGTCACGGAGGAGACGAAGAAAGCGTTGGCGGGCCGCGCGGTCGACGTCTTGTACCTCGACACGACGTACGCCGCGCCCCAGAACGACTTCCCGTCCCAGGGCGAGGCCTGCGCCGTCATCGCCGATGTGGTCACACAGGAGCTGGCGCGCGAGCCGAAGACGCTCTTCCTCGCCAACGCCTACTCCGTCGGCAAGGAGAACGCGTTCGACGCGGCGATCCGCGCGTCCGGCGGCCTGGGCTACGTGAGCGGGCGCCGCGCGGAGAGCCTGCGCGCCTGCGGCCGCTGGGACCCGAGCCTGCACACGGAGGACGCGTCGGACGAGCGCGTCGCGGTCTGGGTCGGCCACCGCGCGGCGCCGGGCGCGCGCGACGGCGACGACGGGCCGCACGGCCAACTGGCGAAGGTCCTCGCGGACGCGCCGCGCTTCAAGGCCGTCGTGTCGCTGCGCTGCACGGGCTGGGAGTACCAGAAGAGCTGCCGCTGCGCGGGGGGCGGCCTCGGCGGTTTGGACACCTACTGCCCCAAGGTCTGGGAGGGCAACGACGGCGCGACGCGCGCCTACGGCGTGCCCTACAGCGAGCACAGCTCCTTCCCGGAGCTCAAGCGCTTCGTCGCGGCGCTGCGGCCGCGCAAGCTCGTGCCCACGGTCAACGCCGCGACGCGCGTCAAGCGCGACGGTCTGCGGGACCTGTTCGCGGACGGGGTCGAGCACGCGAACGACCGGTCGAAGATGGACGCGTACCTCGCGTCGCCGACGGGCGGCGACGCGCTCCGCGGCGTCGACGTGCGGCGCCAGGCGCGCCTCCTGGAGCAGTTCGAGCGGACGCCGGAGGCGCCGTCGCCCGTCGACGCGGAGAAGGCGGCGACGGTGCGCGAGGTCGTCGGCGACGCGCCCGACCGCTACGTCGCGGCGCTGCTGGGCGACGCCGGCGGCGACGTCGCGGCGGCCCTGAGCGTCCACTTCGGCGCCCACGGCGGCGTCGTGCCGCCGGCCTACTACGCGTCGGCGCCCGCGCCGTCCGTTGGGCCGTCGGAGGACGACGACGCGGACCTCTTGGTCGGCGCGGTCTTCGCCGTCAAGGGCCGCGACGAGGACTTCAAGCTCTTCCGGACGGGCGGCCCGCCGCCGCCGAAGCGGCGCCGGGGCGAGCCGCGGCCCAAGGGCCAGCAGCCCGGCGGCGCCGCGGAGAAGGTCCGGGAGCGGCTGCGGCAGCTCGGCGCGTGCGTCGTCGGCTTGCACGACACGGGCGCCAAGAAGCTCGCGCCGACGCACGTCGTCGTGCCCGAGGGCACGGAGCCCGGATCCTTGGTCGGTTTGGACCATCTGGTGCGCGTGAAGACGGAGTCGTGGCTGCTGAAGCGCGTGCGCGCGCTGGAGGCGGGCACGGTGCGCAAGCCGACGGAGGCCGACTTCAAGGCCGCGGAGCAGAAGAAGACGGACGCCGTCGAACGGGCCAAGGTCAACGACGTCGGCCCCAACGGCGAGAAGCGCGCGGGCCCGCGACGCAAGGCGACGGCGGAGACGGCCGCGACGGCGCACCGCGCGCTCACGGAGACCATGTACCTCGTGGACCGCCGCGACGAGACGCGGCCGCCGCCGCCGGGCGCGTGCCGGCCGCCGCCGCTGCGGCACAAGTTCGTCGTCATGGGCACGACGGGCAATGTCTACGACGTCACCCTTGATAAGGAGCCCCGGTGCACCTGCCCGCTCGCGCTGAAGCACAAATCGAAAGTCTGCAAGCACCGCTACTTTGTGTTCTACCGCGTGTTGCGCCTGCCGCGCGACGACGACGAACACGATCCGAAAGGCCTGAAGCACGTGCCGCACCAGCGCTACCTCCGGCGCGACGAGCTCAAGGCGATCCTCGTGGACTCGTCGACGGCGGACGCGCCGCTGGCGTCGCGCGCGGCGCGCGACGCCTACCGGCGCCACTCGGGGGTGATCGACGTCGACGACGACGGCCCGGCGCGGGACGTCGCGCGGCGGCCGCTCGCGGCGGACCCGTGCGAGATCTGCTTCGAGCCCTTCCCCGAGGGCCCGGACGGCGCGGCGTTCTCCGACTTTTGCCGGGGCGGCTGCGGGCGCAACTACCACCACGAATGCCTGAAGCGCTGGTTCGACCACAAGCGGGGGCCGCCCGTGTGCCCGGTCTGCGCGGCGGACTGGACCGTCGCGCCCGGCGCCGACGCGGCCGTCGCCTCGGAGGAGGGCTTCCTCAACCTCCGCGAGCTCCAGCCGGGCGTCCAGGCCGAGCGCGACACGTCGACCTACGCGACGAACAGCGAGGGCCGCCTCTGGACCGACGTCCACGGCGACCGCGCGGCCCACGCGGCGAGCCTCGCGCGGGGCGACGAGCCGCCGCCGCCGCCGCCGCCCGACTGCACGCCGCCCGACGACGACGTCATCTGGTAATTAGGGCGCGGCGAAGGCCCGGAGCCGCGCGGGGAGGTCGCCGAGGTCCGCGGCGTCGAGCCGGTCGACCATGGCGGCGAGGAGGTCCTTGCCGCCGCGGTTGCCGTGGAGGACGAGCGGCGCGCGGCCGGCCGCGTCGCGCCAGGCGCCGTCGGCGAAGGCGTAGTCCGACGGCGCCGCGCCGTCGAGCGGCGCGTGGACGCGCCCGTCGACGTCGAGGCGCGCGCCCGTCGCCGCCCCGAGCGCGTAGGCCGAGAGCGTCGCCTGGTCCGACGCCGTCGGAGGCGGGTCGCGCGCGCGGAGCGCGCCGTCGAGGAGCCGGAGCACGTCCGCCGCGCGGCCGACGTAGCCGCCCGCGTTGAGGTAGCGGCCGGGCGCGAGCGGCCCCGCGCAGACGTCGGGCTCGCAGCGCCGGTCCGCGCCGAAGAGGACGGCGCCGGGGGGCAGGCGCGCGTCGGCGGCGACGATGGGCCGCTGGAGCACCGTGTCGTAGGCGTCGACGAAGAGGACGACGCGGTCGCCCGGCACGGTCCGGAGCCACTCGCGCGTCCACGCGAGCTTCTGGACCGTGCCCGCGAAGCCGAGGCCCAGGCCGAGGACGGACACGCGGGGGACGACGTCGTGCGCGTGTGTCGCCACGGACGCGAGGAGCCGATAGAGGCCCGGCGCGGGCGCCGTCGCGACCGTGACGAGCTCGAGGTCCGTCGCGACCGCCTCCGGCGTCGCGACGAAGACGGACGCGTTGGTGAAGGCGAGGTCCGGCGCGAGCTCGCGCGCCGCGGCGGCGGCGACGAGCTCGGGGCAGCCCGTCGCGACGGCCCAGTCCGCGATGCCGCCGACGGCCGCCGCGATGAGCTCGCGCCGCCCGTCGCAGAAGGTCCTCGCCAGCGCCGCGACGTCGGCCGGCGAGGCGTCGCGCGCGACGTCGAGCTCGTGGAGGACGCCGGCGATGTCGATGCGCACGCGCACGTAGCCCGCCGGCACGCCGACGTCGACGACGGCGGCCGCGGCGAGCTGCGCGAATGCGAGCCAGCGCCCCATGGTTCTAGGAGATGCTGGTGAGAGGCTTCACGCCGCTTGCTCCGGAGAGCAGCATCGGGCAGCCTCTAGCCTGGCAGCATCTGAGGATCCCCTGCCTTTGCTGAGATCAGTGTTTGCCCCTCGACGCGACGCTCGCCACTCGATCGAGCTGCGGCGGCCCCGTCGTCGACGACGGCACGCGGCCGCGCCCGCAGCCACCCTCGTGTCTTCTTGTCCTGCGAATGACGATTTTTAACTACCTTAGGACACCATTCGACCGTGTTCCCTGCAAAACGCAGATCGGACCCTGAAACGAACTCATAATCCGACGCTCTCGAGGGGCGCGCGCGAGACCACGCGCGGCGCCGCCCCCCCCCGTCGGACCCCCCGACCGCCCCCGCAGGCCTAAGACACCATGGTGCGGCGCTACGTCGGGAACGGCGTCTGGGAGGACGTGCCCGGGACCGTGACGCCCCAGAATTCGCTCGAGGTCGCGCTCGAGGACGTCGCCACGCGGTTCCTCACGCACCTGCCCGCGACCGAGCTGAGGACCGCGGACCGCCTCTTCTTCCAGATCGAGCAGGCGCACTGGTTCTACGAGGACTTCCTCGCGGACGCGCCGGGCGCGAAGCTGCCGCACCTCCACCTCGGCGCGTTCGCGGAGAAGCTCTTCGAGAGCTGCGAGCTCTTGAAGCCCATGAAGGAGGCGTTCCCGAACCTCATGAAGGACTTCCGGGCCTACAAGAACAGCATCCCCGTCTGCGGCTGCGTGCTCCTCGACCCGTCGCTGACCCGGGTCGTGCTCGTCTGCAACTGGGCGAAGACGTCGTGGGGCCTGCCCAAGGGCAAGCTGAACCAGCACGAGGCCAAGTACCTCGCGGCGAAGCGCGAGGTGCTGGAGGAGACGGGCTACGACGTCGGCTACGACATGGGCGACGAGGACTGCATCGAGGTCATGAACAAGAAGCAGAACGCGGCCATGTTCTGCGTCCCGGACGTGCCGCTGGACTACCCCTTCGAGCCCCGCGTCCGCAAGGAGATCTCCGAGGTCAAGTTCTTCCCCATCGACGAGCTCCCGGCGAAGCAGTGGAACGTCGACATCTTCGTCCCCAACATCAAGCGCTGGATCAAGCGCCGCCGGAAGAAGGCGCGCCGCGACGCCGCGCGCGCCAGGGGCGGCGCCGACGGCGCCGACGACGTCGACGTCGACGACGACGACGACCTCGACGTCGGCGCCGGCGCGGGCGGCGCCGCGGACCTCTTCGCGCGGCCCGGCGGCGCGCCGCTGCCCGTCGCGACGCCCGACCTGCCGCCGCGCCGCGACGTCAAGGTCCGCCCGCCGGGGCCGCCCTTCGAGTTCGACCTCGCGGACATCGGCCAGGCCGTCAACCCCATCCTCGACGCGGCCATCCTCCAGGCCCGCCAGAAGCTCGCGGCCGGCGGCGCATAAAGCCGTCGTTGCATGCGTTGTTGAAGGGCAACGAATCGCCGATCCGCTGGTTTTTTCTGTGAGGTTCTGTGGTCGACAGCGCGCGTTGCCTCTGGAGAGCTGCCTCGCCGCGCCGCGACCTACGAGCACCATGGGAGCCGGGGCGACGTCGCTCTCGAAGGAACAGGCGGAGAAGTACAAGGAGTTCGACGCGGCCAAGTGGGAGGCGCTCACGAAGGACGACGCGGGCAAGGTCGGCGTCGACCAGCTCCTGCCCTTCGCGCCCGCCGTGACGTGCTACACGGCGGACACGAGCATCTGCAGCATGATCTGCCGCGTCGCCGCCGAGGAGCACGGCGTGCCGAACGTGGTCCACACGAACATCGACATCGAGTGCGCCATGGAGAACTACGAGCCCTCGTTCATCGCGATCCAGCCGAAGATGACCGTGCCGTGCATGAAGTACGGCGACGACGTCATCGGCGATTCCAAGGACATCATGTACTACCTCTCGGAGAAGCACCCCGACGCCGCCCTCTACCCGGCGGAGCAGAAGGAGGCCATCGACACGTTCATCGACATGTTCTACAGCCGCTTCGGCCAGATCGCGCGCTTCACCTTCGGCAACTGGATCCGCAAGTCCGACAAGATCAAGGAGTTCATCGGCCGCGGCAAGAACGAGAAGTCCGCGGAGAAGCTCGAGAAGGCCATCGCCGAGCACCCGGAATGGGCGGAGCAACTGGCGAAGAAGCTCGAGTCGAAGAAGAAGTTCGACTTCTGCGCCTTCATGCTGTCGGCGAACCTCGAGGAGATGGACGCGTCCATGAAGGAGGTGCTCGACGCCATGGAGGCGGCCCTCGAGAAGACGGCCTACGTCGCCGGCGACACCTACACGCTCGCCGACTGCGTCGCGACGGCGTTCCTCGCGCGCGTCCACATCGTCAAGGACGAGACCATGTTCGGCCCGAAGACGGCGGCGTGCTGGAACGAGAAGTACAAGACGCGGCCCTCCTTCCAGAAGGCCTACGTCCTCTGGAAGTGGGAGCACTCCCTCATGGCCAAGCAGATCGACGTCTTCGCCGAGGGCGGCGACCCGGAGTCCGTCAAGTGGACGGGGCCGCCGTCCGTCATCCCGGGCTAGGGCCCGCGCCGCGTCGCGCGAGTGCGTTTTAAGTTCATTTGTGCCCATGTTGTAGGGAAACTTGACGTCTCAGAGGCTGGCGCGCTTCAAATGTTTGAAGGATGGGCGCCGCATCCAGTCTCCCCGACGACGCGCTCGGACACTGCGCGTCGTGGGTAGCCAGCAAACGCAACATCTTGCGCCTCCGCGCCGTGTCGACCGAGGGCCTAGGCGCGGCACGACGCGCGATCGCGAGTCGCGCGTCCCGGCGCCTGTCACATGTTCGCATTGGGAAAATCGTAGGAGCGGGGAAGTATGATACGGACCCGCGCACAGTTGAGGCACTGGGCCGCGTCTTCGGTGCTGGCTGTAACTCTCTGCAGGTGCACGAATTGCGCAGTTCGTTCGAATTCGTCGACGCGGTGCGCTTCTTCGTGGCGCGCACGAACGGCGGGTTGAGAAAATTGGAATATGATGGGGTCCCAGCAGCAGCTCTGGTCATGATGTGCCAGGCCTCACCAAGGCTGAAAAAGGTTTCGGCTAGCCTTGCATTCCCCTCGGACGCCGAGATGAGAGCTATAGCCGCCGCCTGTCCCGAGCTCGACAACGTCGATGTTGGGAACAGCGAGTTCAGCTCCGCGGAAACTTGGCAGAGACACTTCCCGAAGCTTCGACGCTTAGCACTGAGTTATCCACAAATTTCCCTTTACACGCCGACCCGGCTCGACGTGATTTCAGAGGCAGCGCGCACAACAGACGCGACGTTGCTGGACGTCGGAGGATGTCACATCGAGCGCGATGTCATCGACGCAGTTGTCGGCACACCGCTAGGCGATCGCATCGAGTACTTTGGTTTCAACGATGGTAGCGACGAAACCAAACTCGAGCGCGAGGCTGTGCTCGCTGCTGCCCGAGGCTTCCCACGACTTCGACATTTGGTCATTCCCGAGGGCTCGACGATGGGTGGCCCAGGCTTTTACGAGGAGCTCGCACGGGCGAGGCCCAACCTCAAGCGGCTGTCCATCAACTGCGACGCGAGTACGACCGACGCGTGTATCGCCGCGGCATGCGCGCACCTCAGCTTGGAGATCCTAGAACTCGAGGGCTGCCCCGCGCTTTCGCGCTTCGCCGACGGTATACTCGCCGGCGACTCTGCTGCGACGCTCATCTCGCTCGTGGTGACGTATTGCGCCTCAGAGTCCGAAAGAGGCCTGATTATTCCCTACGACGTGCTGCGCAGGGCCACACAAGGGGCCGACGGGTGCGGGTCAGGGTTCTTGGCCGACGGAGCCCCGCACCTTTACCCTCACCCTCCGGTCCGAAACCCTTACCCGCACCCGTTATCACGGGTCCTGGGAATTTGGGCACCCTTACCCTTACCCGCGGGTGGCACCCTACCAAAATCCTCTAATTTAAAAAAAAAATATATGGAAACCGCCGAATTTGGATTCGGACGCGCAAATTAAGCTGCTTTTGGATCGACCCGACAACCTGGCAGCTGCATTACACGCCCTCGAACGGAAATCAGGAGGTCGGCCAGGCGCGGGACACCCTCGAGGGTAAGGGGCGTCCCTCGCACCCGTGGCTTTTCGTCGGTACCCGCACCCGTACCCGAGCCAAGGGTTCTGGGAATTTGGCGGCCCCTCACCCTTACCCTCCCGAGGGTTTCGCGGGTTCTCGGGTCGGCCCCTCGCCCTTGTGTGGCCCTGGTGCTGCGGATCGTCCGAGGTTGTCCAAACCTCATCGCGCTCGACTGGTACCAACATGAACCGCCGCACGCCCAGGGCTGGGACGAGATTTCCAAGGAAATCACGGAGCTCCTAACGAGCCGCGGAGGGCAGGTCAACACAGAGTGGCCGAGACTCGAGCTCACTCGCACATGCGGATTCTCAGAATTTCAGGCTCGATTTGAAATCGACCCCCCCAGGCGCGTCAGTTCCGGGCCCCGCGGCTCCTGGGACGCACCCCACCGGTAGGGCGCGACCCCCGGGGGTCTGAGGAGTCGCTCCGTGCGTTTGTCCCGTTTTTTTGCTTCGTGTCCCGTACTCGTCCTGCCGCTCTACGGTCGAACCATCGTTTATCCCCGGCAGGACGTCGAGTATCTGGATTAGTTAGGCGCTCGAAGCTGCTATGGCAGCTGATGGAATCTCCACCTTAGAGGGCCCCGTGCTCCTCGAATATGCAGCGACGTGCAACGATCCCAGCGGCTTTGAGGTCCGCAAACATGTGGGTGAGGCACATGAAAAGACGCGACATCCGGACGATTGCGAGGTGGCGCAAACGGGCAGCCTCAGGGGGTGGAATGGGGCGCGGCAGCTTCCCCCGACCCGAATTTCGGTCGCCTTCGAGTCACAGAGCGTCGGGAATCGTTCGTCATGAGGGCGATCAGATGCCCTCGCGGCAGCCCTTCGGCTCGAGCCGATTTGATCGAGATCACCTCACCGGCTCCGGGAGGCGCGCGGCGCCGCGGGTGACACGGCGCTCACTGCGCAATGCATGCGGCGTTCGGGCCGCGGCAACCTTGACAGGCCACTCGGGAGGGACATTCCAGGCGGTGTTTACTCGAGATGCCGCGGCCCGCTCGAGCCCTGGAACTAAGTTGGGCCTCTCGTCGGTCGCCCCCCACCATTAACGGCCGTTCTCGTCATCCACGGGCTGCCCCGACGCGAACTAAGTTGCTCGCCTTCGACCGATGGTCTTTCCCGAGCGACTCGCACCCGGGCCCGAGGCGCGGCAAGGTCCACAGACCGAGCGCCGCGCCAAGTCCTGGAACCGCTGCATCGGCTAGCGAAAGACGCGTTTTAGCCCAGATCTGACAAAACGAGCAAAGCCTGGGGGGGCTGATCTCAGATCAAGCCTTCAATGCGTGGTCTTCGAATGCGCGCAGCCTCCCTGCTTCTTCATCGGATCGGCCTACTGAAGTTGTAGTGCGCTGCTAGAGCAGCGGTCTTTTTCCGCTCGGGAGCTTTAGCTATACGGCAAGTGTGAATGTTGATGTCAAGTTGCCGTGTTTGAAAATCAGCTCGAGCTCGAGCTATGGATCGACGCAAGCGAGTCGTGCCGGACAGTCCGGAAGGGCTCCCCGTGCAACGCAACGCGTTCCGCTTGCCCGGCGCTGATGCCGCGCCGCCGCGCGCGCCGGCGCTGTTTCCGTCGAGCAAGCGAGCGCCAGCGCTGTTTCCGTCGAGCAAGGCGACGACCAAGAAAAAGGCCGCGGCGCCGCGGCCGCGCGCCGCGAGTCCCGGCGGGTCGTCGTCGTCGGAGTGCGAGCTCGACGCGCCCGTCGGTCCGCCGCCGAGCCGCCGCCGCGTGGCGCCCGCCGCGCTGGCCGCGCCGCCGCCGCCGCCGTCGCCGCCGCGCGTCGAGGCCGCGCCGGCGGCGCCCGCCGTGGCGCCGCGCGCCGCCTTCAAGGGCCCGTCCAAGGCGCCGGCGACGGGCGGCTGGTGCAGCCGGCCCGCGCTCGCGGCGCACCGCGTCGTCGAGGCGCCGCCGCCGGCGCCGGCGCCGGCCGCGGCGCCG